AGACGAATTGCGTTCCATGTCTGGCATATGCCTCAGCCGTCATACTATTCTGCGAGATAATGCTACTTAGTTTAAACAGGAAAAATGCAAAAGATCATAAGATATGGGACCATAATGAAAGCATTGAAGGCATTTTGAATATAAAAAATACTGCCTTTAAGAAATCTAAAATTCAAAAAGATTATTGTTTGTAGTTAAGTTTCATTTACTAGAAATGACTTCATCTCGTCATTTTTCCCTCTTACGCTGGGCCTTTTTTTTAAGGCGATCACTGTGCGTCCATTTAAGCTAAGTGTAAAGAAACTGCACAATATGCGTTTGTACTTGTAGGGCCCCTTCAATTGTTTCGATTCCGAAATCCTCCACTTTGACGTCTAAGGCAGTTGGCTTTACATGGTGCTTGTTGCATTTTCTTGGAAAGCAGTGCATTTCGAGGTAATCTCACCCGCTATCGAAACATATGTTATTTTCGGTTATGTATTTCTACCAACTTTTCGGCAAGATTGCCAACTACTGTGCGACTCGATCGAATTGTAACTTTAGACCATAATCAGCCAAATTAACGTCGAAGTAGTGGTTGTCGTGTCTTCACATGACTTATCAAAGCTCTTTGCACCGATTTAGAAGCAACCTAATGTTCATTGTCACCATTTATTTTGAAATAATACGTAACGACTTGATGGATATTTGAATCAATATACTTTTGGTATCATACTACTGATAGCTTTGCGTTTTATATCAGTGGATGTATACGTAAAAATGAAACTTCATAGGTAAATTAGGCAATTTTTTCATAGCATTCCTCACACCACTTGACTTATTGTTTTATCAGCACTGCATGGCCAAATTTGTTATTCTGGGGCGTTTACTGAATCAATTACTATTACACTGATACATTCATAATTCCGATTCGGAATCCAAGTTTAGTGAATTCCTTAGGACGTTTGGCCTTGTATTTCCTTTTCTTACTCCCAACTTATCCAGCACCTCTCTCCATCTGGTCTTTCAAAAGTGGGTGATTTTCCGCTCAGCTGAATTAATCCGAGTACTGAAACTTAAGTGAATGATAAATTAGTGTGCACATCATGTCAATGTCACTCCCTTTCGGGGGTTCCCATCCAACGTACAAATTGCATTCCACCCAAACACCTGATGCTACCTCAACGCGCGATGCCACTCCTAATGCACGCCGACGAGCATAAATGGAAATGTCTTATGCTGTACTGGTGCAGGGCAGGATAGGACCCATGAGCGTTGGCACGTGGTGCAGAAGGCGGTATTTTTTGCATCTGTCTTTTTCACTGATAATGCACACCATTCATTTAAGGGGTGGCATACATGCTTCGTGCCATTCAGCCTTCGCAAGGGGCAAATGTTCATACAACTTTTCTTATTGTAAACGATAACCTCCAAGACCAATATTAAATAACTAACTACACGGAACTTTACCTCACGTTAATTACAGTAGCCATTTGGATAGGTTCAATCATCCTGACCTTGCCCATTTTCGTCTAGTCCTTGTTTAGTATTGACATAGCTCTCTTTTCCTACTTTACCTGCTTCTGTTATAGCTTAAAAGGCTTCTCTTAAATCTTTCCCTTTTGTGTGTTTTGGAGTAAGTAATACACAGTCCATTTAAAATGTTCTCAAATGAAATCTTTCTTCACTTTGTAAAAATTAATTAAAATCTCATCAGGTTGCACTGCAGAAGTAAAATTAAACCAAAGCTGTTATATTTTGAACTAGTATTACTTATATCACTTGAAGTTAACTTCTACTGGCCTGTATCACCTACCTCCACCTAATCTTTTATGCACTATCACAGGTAATCCAGAGGTATACTTAAGGGGGAGGAAGTGAATTCACGTACCTTAAAAGTGAAGCTGTTTATGAGATTTTTGCTATCGTCTTGACACAAACACCTTTCCCCGATAATTTACACGTCGTGAAGGTCGTGTGTGGATGCTTAAGCTACTACATTTGAAATAAAAATTGAAATATGGATGAGTTCAACCGAATGTTCACATTAGTAAGTCTGAGTGGCATTTTAAAATACCGGGCTTGAAAGAAGCATAGCCTACCGTTTACGCGGTGAGCCACTGAAAACATGAGTGCGAATTTTTAACGGTCTGTCGCATTATGCGCTCCACGTTGGCTTTGTTCAAGTGGTCGCATACGCGTGGGCGCGTGAGGTGGGCACTAATGACTGCCATTCTCCCTGTTGCTATTGTCCAAAAGTGACTAAGCGAATATATTTTGTGTTATTTTGCCATTTTACAACCAAGCAAAATTTTTAAAACGGCAAAAATGTTGAGTCCCTGATCCTGTAAAAGCTATTCAGTTAAAAAGAGAATGGATTATTGAGATTATGCTAGTCACTTCCCCAAAATGCCAACAAATTACCGTTGGAAATAGTAATAATGTTATCTATTAAACCAGCTCGTAATCTTTTGAGGATAAAATAGTAATAAATGTTAGCATCCATTAGAATTACTCATTTTTTGTGCCTTACGTCGGTCAGGTTACCCCATCCGAGATATCCAAGAGGCTCCAGCGACTAAATGAATCAATATTTAATGTGATTGTCAAAATTACACTTTTTAAGACAAAATCTAAGACTTTGGGTCCCTCCGTTTATTTTTTTTTCTGGCACAATTGCCAATGACAGTTTACGATACGTCCTAAGTAATGGAGTTTAAACAAGGTCAATAACGACGCGCAAATTTTACAAATACAACTGATGGCACATCAAGAGAAAGTTAGCACCCAAGGTAAATTGGAACATCATCTTGGCCATAATTTCGTCTAATCATTTCACGTTTTCTATTTATTACTCTTTGCCATTATCAACTGGCTTCTAAACATTAAGTGCTGCAAACGGTTTACGACTCACAAAACAGAAATGTTCCAGATACTCCTCTCTTCCGGTTGCATTGAATTTTCTCACATTAAACACCTCATTGGTTTACTAATAGAGCACTAGGAAATAACAGAAACTCCGATGCCTGCACACGGTTCACCTCGCTGAAGGTAGTAATGATCTGGTTTGGCCCCGTGTAAACTCACTCTAACATAGAATTAAATTCAGATAATTAAACAATTAGCTTTTTTTCTACGACATTTCTTAATATACCCAAAGTAAACAACACGGAGTTAGGTAAGTTCTGCCAATGTGGTTCGACTTGTAAAAAAACCAAATAATTTGAAGGCTTTTCAGCCTCTACTATGATGCCTGTCAGTATTTGCGCTAATTGCTTCTGCATCTGAGCCAAAGCTTTACCGCAGAAGCTCACGTCTAAGTATGTACATAGTATTTCAGTAGACCCTTTTATTCCAACTTCAACATCTCTCAATCAAACCTTTCACCAAGTCATCAGTCAAATGGCCAAAGGAACCCTTTTTACACGCAAGCCCATCTACGCCATGACTCATGCCAAGCAAAGCGACTACAAAGGCCAGCTTTACCGGTGTCGACAAGCCATTGGCCAGCTTAACTGGATTCAACTAAGCTGCCTTATCGCTCTGCTAGTATGGTTTTAAAATTATACATCAGGTTTAATGGTTCCATAAATTGTAGGGATCGTAAAAGTTACATGTTTAGTAGGGATCTACACTACTTCTGTTGTGACCCGGTCGACAAATACTTGTCCCTGAGGTCAAATACTAAGATTAAGTAAGAAGATATGGATGATGCGCCTGTTTTACAAACTGGAATTGTTTTATCTAATATGCATTGGATATAACACGTTATTTTGGTGCAAATAATGCATGCGTTTGCTCCAGTGCCCCTAATTCACAATTCCCAGTGTAGAGGTAAAAGGGTCAATATTCATTTAGTGCAGCCAATCAACGGTACAGCTTCCAACTTAAAAGCAACTCTTTCCTTGCATTTTTGTTGCACTTTGTACGTAAACGAAATTGATAAGTCCTTTCATCTGACTTCGAGCTTACTTCACGTGTTTAAACCAAATTTAATCCTGAGGGTTACTGGTCTAAAATGCATCAAGTAGCAGGGAGGGCTGTCATTCGAGAAATCCTGGAAATGTATGAACGAAGTCGGATGATCGAAAGTTTTGGAAAAACCGAAAGGAAAATTGACTATTGAATTATCAGTGAGTGCTTTATGTGAAGTCTCAGTTTAGCTCAACAAATTCACACCTACAAGGACATCAATCAAAATGCCAATGATCTTAAGTGACGTATCTGCAAAGATGTAAACTAGTTGTCAAAAACAACCGTTTTGTGCTTAGGTTTTGCTACTTCGCAGACGGTAGAGTCTTGTTTATAAATTAGTTCCACTGAACCGTCAAAATTATGTTGAAAATGAGTGCACATGCATACTACACACATGTTATTAAGCGGCAAACGTGTATCAGAAACAGGGATGCTTCAGACAGGCGCGCTGCTCGTTATCGAGGAATCGTATTGCACCGTTTATAGGATTCCCTTCTTCAAAGTTATAAACAGAGCATAGGCTTCATCATGGATGCCAGAAATATACTAAACCTGTCAACTTTAATCCAGTTAATATGTTGACATAAGACTTAATGGTTATTTTTAACGCCCAGATCCTGCTGCCACACGAAAGTGAAGCATTGCAATAGGCAGGCGACATAACCAGGGAGGCGGAATATTGAATTATCAACTGATAAAGCTGATTGGCTATGTCGAACGCTGTTTGTGATCTTCAATAGCTCTTACTACGCAGTTATTTCGGTCTTTTGTTTAAATGGCTACTAGTTTATGCATGTGAATCTCAGGTATTGCTTTAAAATAGCACAAAGCTATCCAAGTGAATTCACTCTCAGCAAAACAGAATCAAAGCAAGATCAAATGCAAAAAATGCTGTTAGCTAATGTTTACTACTATAACAACCATTAAGTTGAAAGAAAAAAGTCAAAGTGAGTAATTGTTGTTTATGCCTTTTTACATAAATAGGTATCCATGTAAAACACAGGAATGACATTAGGGGGAAAGCATACAATCGGTTATTGATTCCGCTACACATAACTGGATTGCGCAGTCTTTGATAAACCATCCCCCAAGGGTGTCAATTTATTGAGAGAAATGCTGCTGGCCGAGAATTTGACCACCTTGTGCGGCTGTAACGGCGTCGTTGAGGTAATTGTATCTTCTAGGTCCGAATTCCAATCCAAACTGTTTCCCTGATCCATGGGCTGGAGAGTGGCCGACTTGACTTTGTGTCTCCCGCCCTCGTCCCTGGGCACCTTGGTTGTCGATGCGCTCATAAGCTCATCGCTTCCTTGAGACGTAGATGGCCATGCATCCACTGAGAGGGAAAATTCAATTGGTTTCTCCCCGTGGACCGATTGACCAGCTGAGGATCGACGTTGCATTATAACTGGCATCTAAATTAGCAAAATGGTGCTAGGTGTGACTTTTACCCTTAAAATATATTTACTCACCATTCACAAGGGGAAATAAATCCTACTTCCTCAAAATTATCTGAAATGAACCCAAAATAATTAGATATTTATGTTGCCACTGCATCTTATTCAAAGCTATGCTTCACAAATCTAAACTCATTTCGAATGCGAGTTGGTTAAATGGTGTCTGGCTTATGGTCATTCATGATCATCCAAGCCCAAACACTGCCCTTTAACTATTCGCCAGAAATAGTTTGTTTTAACTGACTACTGTAAAGAGTACCATTTAAGTACTATAGTAATTCAATTAATAGTTAATTATTCTCAACATCACTCTCGGACCGGAAAAGGGTAAATGGTCAGTTTGATAAACGATAAACACCCCCTTTGTATGGATGACCATATGGCACCCCAGCAAACAGAATATATAGTATCTACTTAACCATCTGGTGAGTAAATATAATTCAAAACGTCTACACAGTCCCTAATCATTTGGTCATATGTACGCAAAAGGAAAAACTAAACGTCTGCATATTTGAATAAAGGCGGTAAAGGAAACGAAAAGGCTCTGAGCCCTGGCCTCTACCATCTAGTTATTATTGCGCACGCAATTTTCGTAATAAATGATTCTTTTCCGTTTGGAAAAGCATAAAATTTTGCAAAACCCCTATTTAACATTCAGCAGAATTTCTCTCTCTACCATCTGGCAAATCAGTGTTGGTTAGGCAATCCCACACTCAGTGCGAATTAGTTTCGGCTTTATAGACAATTGCCCCAATAACTTATAGTAAGCTATAGCAGAAAATCTCAAAGCACTTCGTTTCAAATAACGTGAGTGTGCCATTACCCAAGTAACCTCACTAGTACTTTTTAACTGAAATACCTTTTGCTGAAGCAACAGCTGGTATTCACACTTGCCAATGTCACCCTCGCTGTCCGCAGCCGCCAAGAGTTGGCCAGACATCTCGGTGTAGGTGGCGGTGCCGGCAGTAACAGCGGCAGAAGGGCACCTGCGTGGTTGTGTAAGGAGGCCTGCGAGGAGGTTCCCATTGCCTGAAGGACTGGTTCCTCGGGCCCCTCCCACGGCCTGATGGCTTACAATGCGCGTTGTCGTGCAGACGGGGTAGATGTGAGCAAAATCATCGGAATAGTTGCCAGAAGTGGAATAGAGGACGGCAGTATGGTCTTGTGTGCCGCTCTCTGCTACTGAGCCAGTAATAGGAATTTGCAGTATACTTCGAATAAACTAAGGTCTCAAATTACATAATTATTGGGTTTTATCTCCATAGACTCACTGAATACTATTTGTTCTTGAAAAAAAAAAGGCAAAGCGTGGCCACAAGAGCCTCCTAATATACCCATAGCATTTGGATATACAACTGATTTTGGTGTTTTTTGCTAAATGATTAGAGATAGACTCGCATTTTGCTCTACCGAACTAAGGTCCCCACCATTGTTAACTTTTGAACCTCCTAATCCCTTTTCGTCAGCAAAGAATCAACTACACCTATGCGTTAATTAAATGTTTCGTTTTCCAATTTGCACTAATATTGTAAATTAGTCGGCCTTCTACGTGGGGAGTTTTTCAGTGTTGAAATTTAAAATATAGTAAAATATAATCAAGCCATTTTGAAAAATCCGAACTTTTGCTTTTCGAGTAATCTTCAACTTCTCCTAACTAACCATTTATGCTTCAAGTGGAAAAAAAAGGGTCTTAAGAGTATATGCTAATTAGTCGTTATACCATATCTGTAAATTTTCGGTTGTACATACACTGCCAATCTCATGAAAAGCACAAACCTCTTGATAACTCGTCTATACTTAGAGTACTTTCGTCAATTGTTAGAACTAATCAGCTCGAGTCCATTAATTATTAACAAGTCCCGCCTCCGTAACAAAGGTTATTCTGAGTGGATCTACGCTAATTAAAGGGACAGCATTTTGCTTGATATTTCTGCCCCAAATTAAATTTTGTGGTTTCTATCTACACTGCATCAAGGTGAATGATCCAGCAAACGATAATATCTTTCTTTTTTGCTCATAAGCCCAAATTGGATAAGTTATCAATGAGTTTAAGCCGCTATCTTCATATGGGTTGGAAGAAGACAACGTTTTAACAACAACCATTCAAAATGCGGTTTCTTGCATCTAGACTACTTCAAGTATTGTGCAAATGTGATGGTGAAATATTACAAACAACGAAATGGTGTTACTTTAGTTCCTAGATTAAATGCTAAGCCAACAAAGACAGCTGCACAAATAAAAGTAGAAGCTTATAATCGTCGCAAATTACCTCTCTCTCTAGAAATTAGTGTGAGCATTCAACAATCACTTTTAATGCCATCGAGAGCCATTAAAATGTGGTGCATTAAAAGTTCTCCACTTTTAGCAGCGTCTATTCCCTGCGTCAAGTTTAGTTTGCATCACCCAAGAGGATTGTGGCGAAACCAAAACCGTTATAGGCGGAGTACACCTCCTCCGCACCTTGCTGGAAATTTTCGCGCCTGCGACCACTTTGAAGCCCCAGGAAGGGTTTTGTACATGTTGGTAGAGGTGAGTGGGTGAGTAGTGCAGTGTGGCGAGGCGTGGCGTGATGCAAGGAGGAGAGGGGTGATGATGGAGGTAGGAGTGGTAGAAACTGCGTGCTGAAGGGAAGGGGGATAAAAAAAGTGACACTAGTAAGAAACGCGGTTGTTGAAAAAATTTACCTGCCGAAGATAGGCAGTGTTGTGTGCGTGTCTGTTTAGAAAGCGCACATACACTCACACAATCCCTTTTGAGTGGTAAAAACATGTTCACACTAATAAGTATCAACTAAAGACTGCGACGATCTTTAACTAAATATTTACTCACTTCTAATAATAAATATTTTTGACCCTTTACGATTCCAATGCTATTATTATGGGGCCATTATGGCTACAGCTCCACAGCGACTTCAAAGTTAATTTTTAGGAGTTCCTTTTTAAGGCAAACCAACTGATAGAAGGTACGTGTGATCAGGTTAGAATATTCTTCAAATCAATCGCATTTCTTTGTTTGTACATGGTTCTTGGTAGTAAAAACCTTGGTCTTGGGTCAACTTAAATGATTATAATAAATATACTGAGAGAATCAGAATATTTCTAGCTCTTGTGTCTGTGTATTGATTCAGCTCTCAAAAGAGAGCACTTTACTCAGTCCCAGAATGTACGCGTTATTTTTAACCAAGACATTCAGGCAGAAATAATGCATAATTTATATATGTACGTTAAGTCACTAATGAGATTCAACAGCAACAGTCCTTAATGCATTGTACAGTCGATACAAATCCGCCTGTCTCATTTGCACTTTGATCTATGCACAATCACTTCGTCTCTTTCAGTTGCTATTACCCATTTTCTAAAGGAATTAAGGGATAAAAAAGGGGCTGAAACGGGAGGCACACTGAAGCCGCCTCGTGCACCAAAATGAACCAACATGCATTTTGCGCAGGACACGAGAATTTCAGTCAATGTTTTGCGAAAATCATTTTAGGCGCATTTGAAAATGCAAAAGACAGATGCACAACAACTTTTACCAATTTTTAAGAGCGAATGCAAACAATGACATATTTAGCAGTGCAAGCTCAACTGTGACTGCGTGGTTATTTCATGATGTTGAACCAAGTCATTTGTCGCCTTGAAAGGATGTAAAAATCTAAAACGCCTTAATTTGCATCACTTCCGGTAAAAATAGATGGTTTTTATTTCAATTTCATTTTAAAGAATATATGCAGGGAGGAATGCGCTCTTAAAAATTTGATTGAGTGAGGCTACCTCGCAAGCATCAAATGCATCTGTGAATTTCCCAAAGTTACTCGATTAGTAATATCGCGTTTTCGACTTCATCCATTAGCGCTTTTTGAAAACATAGAAACCGTTATAAAGCGTGCTTTTTGAAGCGGCGTTGCCATCGATTGGTTCAAAATCAAGGTAACCTACGTGATACTGCTGCACTCTGCATTGGTACCAGGGCAGGGAAGGGGCTCACTGCAAAACAATGGTTGAATGATCTGAATCCCATCTAAAAAACGCATAAATGCGTCAAAAATTATTGGTTGAACCAAATTACAAGTTAGTAGGGTTGCTCACCTACTGTTGCATAATTAAGGTTCACATTTCTCAATTAGCTTATGGATGCAGTTCTCATTTTCTATGTCTACTCTAATTTGTAAAATTAAGACCCCACTTTGCATATACTTTCAGCTACATCGCTGAGGTAACTGAGCCATCTGCACAATCACGAACCAGCCACTCAAATGCCTAGTTAAAATCGCAAAGTTACTTTTTCCTTGAGTTTTCCTGTGAGGTTTTACTTAAAATGTCCTAAATGAGGACTATTATTTTATTTGAACGGTCGATATAAGCCTAATGAAAAAATGATATTTTAGTGAGTTACAAGAACTGCGCAGTGTCGAAAATTCCAGCGAAATGATTTAATGGAAGGAAATTATGTTCTTTCTAAGGTTAGTGACTAATGCTTAACAACTGTTGCTTGTTTATAAAATCCGTACACAAAATTAACCAGAAGGAATTCGTCTGTTGTGTAAATATCGTGCAAAAATGGATCATCTTATCATTTTTGCAGTCAAATGAACCACAAAATAAGATGCAACAGAACTCTTAGGACTTGTATTTAGTGCTTGTTGCCATAGTGTATCAACCGGAGTTTATAATTCTACTTAAGAAATTTGAAAAAAGCTTTTTCTAAGACTATTTTACATTTTGAAGCATATTACATTTGTTTTCAGTAGAAGCGTCCATTCGAAATGACTAATCTTTGATTTCGGGTATTTCATCCAATTCAAACGTCTTATCGAAAATGGAAATACCAAACGACTTATTCGTGAAGGTTTATGTTTTCATTATCACATACATGACCGCACAATTATTATGGCTCTATTAATTTGCTTTTTGAAAACTCATTAATTGGCACAGGAATCCAAGCATTGACCTTTCAATGAATACTTACCTTGTTTGAGGAAAGGGGTCCGCCTTGATTTTTACTCAGGGGTTTCAGCAAGGTGTAGGGATCTTCTCCATTTACCGGATAGGTCTCTGATGCGAAAATGCTCCTTCCATCAGAGTCGCTGTGAGACGTTCCATCGGATGGTAGACCCGTCCTGTAGAAAACTGCCTTACTGCCAGGTACCTCATCATTTCGAATCAGCTGCAGTGCGTTCGTTGCACATGGTAAGCCCTCACGGGCGATGTTATTCTGAATCTGTGAAACTGAATGTGTGCGAGAATTTAATTCTCCAAGTCCGCCCTAGTATTTGGACTACAGTTGGAATCATGGAAAATACTGCTTGGAATCCTCTATTGTAACAACCATCTTTAACTTCCGTAAATGTCATATTGTTTGTCTAAAAACGAGTCTATTTTGATGAGTTGAAGAAACTGTTACTACTTTATACTTCCCCAAGACATGATTTACCTCAAAAATCTGCTTTTTTCCTCCCAGTAAAGCTTTGATCAAGTTAGCACGTAGTAGGATGCTTATTCTAAAATTTATGCAGTGAAAGTAGTGGAAGCACCATGTGGTAATGTTATTAGACATGCGGCTTCCAAATTATCGATACGACGACTCCCAGCTATTATTCGCATTAGATTTCTATCAAAATTTGCAGTGTTGTGTAGCATCTAGGTTTAGGGAATCAGAATATTACTTATTTTTCTGCTTTATTTTTATTACTCTTAACATTATATCAACAACTAATCCACTTCAAATTTAATGACACACGTATCAAGTCTACAATAAGGTAGATTGTTAACTTATAAATAAGTCTATAAGTTGTATCACCTGGTGGACAGGAGAGGTTCTTCTTTTTAGAAATGGATCATTCATAAAAACTCCAATATAAGTATTTATGATGCTTTCTTTGATCTACAACTCACTTCTGTCTTCATCTCTCTAAACAGATGTTTTGAGCATCAAATGGCACTGTAGTTTGCCTCGAAGGAAGCAGATTTGGCATTTCTAACGTTTTGTGAATCACCGATCTGACACACTGTCTTGCCCACCACCAGGTCACTTTTACTTAACCATTTGACCGATCACAAATTCAGTCTTAATAGTAATTTGTAAAGTAGTACGAGCATTGATAAAATAATCTATGAAATAAAGGCTTATAATTAATCACTTCATACATGTAATGACATTCACGGCTTTTTAGATTTACTTGGAATAATTCCAGCAGTATTTATGGTCGTCTTTCCTTACTGCATCACTATTTCGGGATTAGCACAAAATAATGACTCTGAGATTTTTTGACGAATAATTTAAAAAATGGCAAAAAGATGACTGGACATGCTTTTGGCTTCTTTGAGTAGGATTGGTTTGTTTAGCTTTTCTACCAAGAACTTTAACCAATTTTAGAACCAAGATATCAAGCCTGCAACCAGTAAACATTACCACAGAAATTTTTCAATATTTAATGTACTTCAATTCTTTTGGATGAGCCTCCGCGAAAAAGCCCAACGTTTAAGAACAAGCTAATTTTTACTCAAATTACTTTGAGGTCTCTTGTTTTGTGCCTTCTCTATGAATGCTCAGTAAGTACTTCCCATGCATTGAGCTTGTTTGAAGTAAAAACTATCCCCACCGAAAAGTCTGATCCGGTATGTCTTGCAACATCGACAAATTAGCATATCTTTTCCACCCCTAATTATATTAATAAAAGAAAATTGCCTACTGCACCAGTAAACAAGGGAGTAACTAAAGTGGATCACTGTCTACATAACTGAAATTTATTGAGTTTCAGTGTGAAAATAGGCAAAGCAATATTCGTCGATAATTTTGTGTGCATTTTGTAATGATTTAGCATTCGTGACCATAGTAGTTTTATGGTCAAAGCAGCGCAACAACACTACTTAAATACCGCTTTGTACATGTTAAATTAGATTAATCGCCAATGAACGCGAATAGAAAACAAGTTCTTAATTTTCGCTTAAGTGAACTTCATTATATCATTTCCAAACAGAACCTCAAGACCCTACCCTTAGGTCCGTCTTTGTGCCCGTGATTTGTGTTAATTTCGATGAATCGGCGACGACGTATGAGGAGAATGAGGACAACGGTGACCACCAAGAGGACAACGAAAATGGAAGAGAGCACGAAGATAATGATGCGGTCGGTGAGGAAAGCAAAGGGCTGCACCGTCGTCAGTGCGGGCGGAAGCGGTAACAGCGGCGCCAGTCGCGAGTCTTCACGGCGTCCCTGACCGCCCTCCCCACCACCACCATCACTTTCAACCCTGCCGCCGCCCTCACCATGTGAGCCCCCAGGAGCGCGATGCCGGGTCTGCGGTACTCGCACCCCTGGTGGGCAGTCTCCTAGAGAGCATTTAGCTGTCTCTCCTCGCCAAACGACCGACATCTTACCATCTCCTTTGTAACCCACAGAGGCTTCCAACTGATTTTTCTGAATATTAAACAATTAACCGCGTATTTGCTTGCTGCATGATTTTCCACTTGTTTATAATCCCAGTTCTTTGCACTGATTAATTGTAAGCTTCCCACAATGTGTTACACTTGTTTGTCGCACTTCAAAATGGCAAATTAACATTTATCCGTGTATCATTAGTATCAACCAAGTATAAAGCGAGTCGCTGAAATTTGCATCACGAAAACAAGTTTCAATAAAATCTAGCGAAGCGTTGAGATAAGTCTTGGAGTGTCATAAAATGATTGCTAAAAACATTTCATTTTTGTAAATACCTTCCAACCAGATTGCTCACTAAGTAAATGCATAATAAGGATAATGTTTTACTCAAAAAAATGTGTCAAGAAATCATGGGTCAAAATGGACAGGTCAGCTAATGGCATTCGAATCGCCTCACATTAGTCTGTCTTTCTCCATAACTTAAAAGTGAGATATCTAAATATTGCAAAATTTAAAAAACTAGTTTACAAATGTATGGCTCCGAAAAAGGTGACCTTTACATAAAGTAATAAATGGGAGGCATAAGTGAAACAGCTTACTGTCACAGCGTGAATGATGACTGCAATCGACGTGTTTCGTTGAACGATGCTCCCCAAGTCATGGGCGCTGATAGTTAGAAGGTATTTTGTTGGAGTGCTAGGGAGTTGTTCCGTCAATAGAACCATTCCTGCCTGTTCATCAATAGAAAAGATGGCACCCTTGGCACTAGCCTCGTTGACTCTTGCCCCCGCTACTAGGGGTGTGGATTGGCTCAGGGAGTAGCGCACAGTGCCATTCTCACCCGCATCAGGATCTGTGGCGGTCACTGTGAAAATTTGCTGACCCGCTGGTGCTCCCACCTCGACCCGAAGTGTTGTGTGTGATGCAGGGAAAGTAATTGTAGGTGCGTTGTCATTTTCGTCGTTCACAATGACAGTCACCGTGGTTGTTGCCGTGAATTGGGTCCTCTTTTCGCTTGTCTGTTGGTGAAGCAGGCCGTCGGAAGTGTCAATGGCAATGACATGAAATATGTGATGAATATACTGTTCTCTATCGAGCGGATGCAATGCATGTATGTTACCAGTGTTGGGGTCGATTTTAAAGTGTCTTGCAGGATTGTAATCACGTGGATAGCTGGTTGAATTTGAGAAGTCATGATCGGTAATCGGCTGCAGACGATAAACAATCTTCCCATTTAATCCCATGTCGGAGTCGTGAGCTAGCACTGTGCCGATCGGATGACCGTTAAGGGGTCTGCAGTTCTCCTCAACAAAGAATTCGTATGTTGTCCTCTCAAATATGGGTGGACAATCATTTACATCAGTGATTGTTACTTGGATCTCCGTATGAGCAGTGTGTTTTCCATCAGAGACTTGAGCGCGGAGATGTGTCACTACTGTGGATTCATTTGTTGCTAGACTCCGCTTGACCTCAATCCCCTCGTATTTTGATATGAGAAAGGCTTCTCTATCAAATGGTCTAACAATATGTAAAGTCCCTGATTTTGAGTCAATTTTAAATGCATCCTGTGGATTGCTGAGCAGAGTGTATGTTAGTACGGGATCGAGGTCTCGATCACGAGCTTGAATATTGCCGATTGGTTTACCCTCCGATTTTGTTGACGGTTGATTCGTGAAGTCGGGAACATTTTCCCCTACTGAAAATGTGTAGATGGCTTGACTGAATTCTGGAGGGCAATCATTTTCATCGAGAATTCGAATGGAAACTAGAGCTATTGCTGTCAATTGCTTCGCTCTGTCAGTGACAATCGTAAACTCTTTGCCTCCATTTGCATCACTGATGGAAGGTGCGGCGATAGATGGTGGGCTGACGTCTTGGACAAACGTCTGCGTTTGGCCGGTCTTATAAACATTGTCAATGCATATTATCCGAAAAGGCACCTTAAGGAAAAAAGAGAATTAATAATAAAATATGAGTATTCTTCAGGTTCATTTTTTGCATTTTAACAATGTATTCATGGTGTTTGGCTAGGGCATTAATGGCAGGAAGCTGAAGAGTGTTTTTTGATTGCTGAATAAAAGTTGAATGGATTCTTCGGAAACTAAATGAGATAACAGTAAGTTAGATGAAGGTGTCAACCTATAGAGTGGTTAAAACTTTTCAAAAGCTTTAAACCATGAGTAGACTTTTTGAAAGCTCCTGAATGTCTCCTGGGAAACACCAAGGGCACACTCGCAGATTCGCTTGAGTGGTCGTGCGCGAAGCTCACCTTATTGATTGTGTTGTCCAGCGTCCTTAATGAGACATGTTAATTATTCATGTCCACAAGGATAACGGCACAATTCCCGCACGATCGTACTCTCTCCCCTTTTAAGCAGTGACTGCCACTCTAAACGTGCGGCCTAGGATTTTTCTTAAGATTTATGTAGAATTTTTATTCCTAATTTCATTTGAGTCTTGCACTTAATTTCTTTAATAATCATACAGCTGGCGGTCAAATGCAAGAAGTTTAAACTTAAATTCATTTGATTTTTAGATATGGAATTGTGATATCGAAATCTCTTGAGACTGAGACGGTCACTTCCCAGGAGTTTATTTGTGTTTCAGGTTTCGATTTACATGGCACACCTGATGTTAATGTTGATTTTTATTCCCATTACCTTTCCTTTACATATAGGTTTTATTATTGAGATCAATTTCATGCCTTTGAATACTCCAAAAATCTCTATGAACATAAGGAGTTGCATTTATTGGTTTTATGCAGTCAAATTGATGGCAAGTTTTGCTCTGAAATGTAAAAGACTTTTGATATTTAAACGTTTGAAGCCACAAATGGCTTGTTAATATGGCTTCATTAATGATCGACTTGGCTTTTAAAATAAAATCTCCCTTGCCAACTGTTTTGAAAAATTGATTAAAGATAAATGAACAAGTTCATTGAAATTGGAGGGAAAATACAGTAGTGTGGCTGAGGTGATTATTTCTAGCATAAGTTGGGTATTGGAAGACTCATAAAGCCTCATGATATCCGGAAGTTTGTGGATCAGAGACCAGCAGTACAACATGCGACATCCGCCGTCCTTAGCATTTCCGGTTTAGCGCTAACGACCCTTTTGGTCGCCATATTAAAATAAAGAGGATTTTGGCCTATCCATATTCCGTTATTCAACAAAGGCGCCATGAGTCGCCTGGACATCCAACTACCACTCTCAAAGTGATGTGCACTTACCTTCTGGCTAACATTATCTGCTGACATCTCTATTTTGTGCTTTAGTGCAATATAGCTTCTCCCAATGTCTTCTCGATTATTCAGCTAGAATATGAGGCCCATCTCCAAATATGCCTTTGTTAGAAGTAAATAACAGATTCTATACCAAATTGTAGTTTTTATTTGCTGCATTAAATAATGAATGAACCAGTTTGCTAATAATAATTTACAACGTTCTTCTAATGTGTCCAATTAAACACACTGTGAAACACCGAAATTAGTTCCAACATTATGAAGCATTCGGAGGAAGGTGGTAAAACATTTTCTGTTAAAAATACCTTAGGAAGTAAAAATGGCTCAAACAAACATGTTGTGGCCCAATTCTTTGCTCAGTACTTCTAAGTACCTTAGGCAATCATCTGAATGTCTTCTGACTGAATGATGGATTGCCCTTGGTCATATGTTACATGATAAAAAAAGCACTCCCAGAAGCGGCATCATTATTTATTTGTTCCTCTTCTTAATCTTGTGAGGGAAAAGTGCTCAGACACTGGGAACACACTTTATTAGGTTGTTTTAGGTGGCTACTAGTGTTTAAATCGTTAGACAAATATTGTTGTTGCAAAGAGTCCCATTGTCGGTTGTTTATGGTTGGTCTCTTGATGTTAAAGCTCAGGTACTTTTGATGTGCGAAACTCTCGCTTTGAGGTATTTTTTCCAAAATTAAAGCCCTATATTGAAATAATTATTCAGCTCTAGTATCCAAATGAAGTCAAATATTTGTGGGATTTTCTTAAACGCTTTTGTGGTTAGGTTTTACCTGTTGAATCTCTTCCCTGTCAAATGGTTTCTGAGTCGTCAGTTTGAAAGAGAGCTCTCTGTTTGCAGAGCGAGGTTCCATCTCGCCAGGACCCTCGAATGAATCGAATTCAGCGGTGCTTCCACTGATTGGAACTAGTTTGAAGGCCCCATTGTCCGTTCTGCAGGCTACCTGTCCCCACGGTCCTGAGTCAAGGTCACGCACAGTGACGAAAGCGATGACACTGCGCCCCACATTCTCCATCACCACCCCGTGGACCTTCTGGGGTGACGACCCCCTGAAAAACATGTTTCCCTGGTATTGTGGGCCCTGAGTTGCAAGAAAATTGACAGAGATTTTCGGGGTCATGTCATTAACATCCAGCACCCGCACCGTTACAGTCGCCTCTGATGTATGTCGCCTTGGAGAGCCGTTGTCGGTGGCGATTACACGAAGAGTAAAATCGCGACTTCGACGAATAGAGATTTCCTGTGGGGTGCTTGACTGTGCATCAATTCCAGTGTCCAGATCTGGGGACTGCCGAATAAAAAGTTTCGCATAGCCTGGCGTAATTGTGCGGACGTCGAAGTATTGCTGGACCACCTTTGACTCTTCTGTCATGGGTGCTGGTAACTCAAATGATACCTACGAGAAAAGTAGGACATGAATTCCGATGCAGCCAACTTACTTTAAAATTTGCCATCAATATGAAATAAAAACTTATTTTGGATTGGTTTCCTGGTAAACCTGAGAAAGTATTGGATTAATTGCAAAATGGCTTCCGATTGACTTAATTTTCACTTACCACCTCGACACCTTCACATTTCGAGAAGTAAACCATTAATTACCTGTAAAATAAGGATTCCATCGGTATCCTTAAATTTCAAACTTATGTGATGGAACCTTATTTCTAGCGTTTGGTCTTCCACTGTAATTGTTTTTTACGATCACATAGGGTCTCAATATTAAAAGCTCGGTCGTATTCACTAAACCCCTTAGACAGAGGGGATGGGTTGAGCAACAGTTGCTGTCAGAAGTAGCGGCACGCGAATTCATTTTCAACTTAATCCTGCTGAATTAATGGACACAACTGGATGCTCGCGGCGCTTGGAACACGACACAAAACAGTGGACAGTAGTATAAACGACAACTGTCTGCACTGCTAACAGCTGGAATTAATTTTATGCTTTGACAGGAGAAGGAAAATTTATGACTTGATGTTTAGATATCCAGTCATTCTCCTTAGCCAAAGGAGTTCACCTTTGTCTGGGTGATGCAGAAGGATATACAAGCTATGAATTTAACTAGACATTCCTACCAACACTCGTCAAATGTTAGAATTTTAGGGCACCATTGCTAGCATAACCAGATTGCCAATGCACGACTTTTAAAAGGTCGTTATTTAAGTTATTTTAATCAAAATTGGTTACTTTTCTTCCTTTTGAATTACAGATGTCAATGATTCAATGCACCATAACGTTGTGGCAGATAGTCGCAAAAATTGAGTTTGTGTCGCTTTACGTAAAATCTCCTTATTATTTGTCTACGTGCGCGCTCCCAGATCGCTTACATATGTAGTCAGCTTTGCCACACACACCATCAAACATGCAAGAGGTCACCGAAAAACATTTTGATTACTTGTGTGTGCGTAAGCGATCAAAGTGTCGTGATGTACAGTTTCGTCAACAGGACAGCCGTGAACAAGGCTCCCAGGGAGGCAATATTAGGACACAGTTGTAGGAGAACCGATTAATGCGTCTAATGATTGTGATGCAAATCAAATTTTCAGTTCTGTCAATGAATAAACTGAGAACCTGAGCATTCACATCACAAAAGGAGATAGAATTGAAAGGAATGAAAGAAGACAAACACTTTAAAGAGTTAAGATTCTCTCTGCGGCTACAAAGGAGTTTACCTGACAGTTGGAAGGGAACCACAATGATTTACAAAACTTTCACACGGGTGTTGTAAATTGATGGTCGACTTATTCCTCTTTTATGGCTGAAGCACATTAGGTCCCGAAATAAATGCATTTACCTGTTACGTGAATAAAAGCTAAATACTGGAGCAATGAGCCCGTAAGATGTCAGTTAACGCATTACTATCAGCAAAATGTAAGCATTCACTGACATCCATTACTGATTCAGATAGAGAAGGTAGGGAATTCGTTTTCGGCAGAAAAAAAGACAGGTCCATTCCATAGAAGTGAATAATGTTATTGCCCACAACATAAATATTTATTGAAGACGAAAACTAAGTACAGGAAAGCATTTGAATTCATAACCGTTTTTTAAAAGTCGTTTCATTTTGTACCATTTAAAAAGCATTTTTACTATGGCAACATATAAAATTTAATCGGCATACACTTATCGATTTAACTTTTTTTCAAATTTCAAATGATAATAAAACCACGTGAGGAATTATGGCAAACTGTATGTTCATGAAAATCGGCTGTTTTTTGGCGACTCAAGACTTTTCCTTGCCTGTGTTAAGAAAATACTTGGTTTGTGTGAAAGGCGAAAGCAAATGCCTTTGTGCGATTTCCTGAGATCGCTTCTTATTTTTATGAAATATTTTAATTCATCACCTCCTACTATGTGTAAACCTTTAATAACTAAGCAAAAGTACAATTAATGTGTGCAATAAAGTCATGTTTAAGTCCACACTACTTATGAGCAGGCGATATCTCGATGCAATTATCCTGCATTCTCCTTTTTAAAGGTAGTCAACACATGAAAATGCTAGTTCAATTTTAAAAAAGAATCATATTTGGGGAAAATCTTCAGGAACTGCACACCAGCTACTGCGGTAGAGGGAGTGCAGTTAGTAAGGCTACCAGTAGAGGGATAATTACCAATCCCTTTTGATAAAATGCCGGCATTCAGTAAATGCTTTTTCGATTGACACCATCCATTACTCATCTTTTTCCATCATTTCTTTCGGCTTACCAAAAGTAAAGGTCAAAATATGCTACTTCAAATTCGCTTATTTCCCATATTGTTTTCAGATTTAGGCGTCAAATCCTTCTAAACCCGAAAGATAACTAAATTGTGCGATCTAAGGATAATACCATGCACACACGGTATCGGTGAGCAGATTTCTATGACAAAACCTACACTATTAGTATCCACACCGATATTATTCAATAGTCAACTCCGAGTTCCAAAACCTGCTCGCCAAAATATTTTAGGGCATCTAGCAAAAAACAGAGGCAACATTACAAATTAAATTTGCCCTCTTCTGATGTGAATTTACCCTCACCTTATTTTTTCCGTAAAATCATCACTTAATCGAGTGGCAGCATCATGAGAAGTGCAGGCCCTATGAACCATCACACCCACTTCAAAATCAATCTGAGATTACTCACCTGTCCATTTTGACCGCTGTCAAGATCCTGAGCGTGTAGATCTAGTAGTACGCTCCCACGAGGTAATGATTCGTTTATTATTATGAAATAATTCGGTCTCGTGAAAGTTGGAATGTTGTCGTTCTCGTCCAAAACGTCAATGTGGATTCGCAGTCGAGAGCTGAGTGAATTCGGTGTCCCGTGGTCTTCAACACACAGCAAAATTTCGTAGGATTTCAACTTTTCATAATCCAGTGGTTGATTTAACCGCAAACGCAGAGGGTCACCATTCACAAGGCCTTCCAAACGAAAAGGAAAGATTGTTGAATTCAAGTGTTGATGCCCGTGTTGAGATAGAACATGCTCCAGCCAGTAAGAAAGAGTGCCATTCGATCCCGCATCGGGATCGCTTGCCGTAGGAAGGTTAATCGTTGTCTCTCCAGGAACCGCCGATACCTCTCCCAGTTCCAGGTTGATTCGAGTTTGGGGAAAAACCGGGACGTGATCGTTGACATCAGCTACTATAATATTTACTGTCAAAAGAATTGGGTCCTTCAACCCACCCTCGTTTTGCTCAGGTGTGTAGACAACACGAAGTGTTAGAGTACAAGGACTATCAGGGGCCCCAGGAGAGTGGATCTTCTCAAGCATTGGATGACCTCCACCGTTTTCAGCAGAATATGGGAACCTCGCTTGTCCTGGGCCGCTGCTGTCGGGGCAGATTACCTCTCTATCTAGCCTAGAGGTCACAATCAAATAGCCATTGATCATATCAATAGCAAAGTGTTGAGGGCCGATGTCCTGCAGGTTTGTAATCATCAGATTAACAGGTGATTTCTCACCATGCGTTGAGTACGTATCGTATATTTGCAAAATATCTTCGGCCAAATTGCCCACTTTCGTACCTCTGGGCACTTCCTCTTGTATTACATATGTCAAATGTTGTAGGTTGCTGGTTTGGGTAGATACAATGAACAACTGAGCCAGTATGAATAAATTGAACATATGTTTGAGCAACTGTCTCATCACTGAAGGGAGCTTAGCTAAAAACGAAAAATGGCTATATTTAGGCAACATAAGTTAAAACTACAGAGGCGAAGTATATTGTGAACAACTCGATCCACTTATCTGGCACCACATTATGCCTACTTTCGTGAAAGCCCAATCTACAACTACAAATTTATAGCATTAGGCTAAACTCGCCTATTTATGACACAAATCATCCCAACGCATTATCGGTGAGAACATCTAAACTAAGTAGTTAAGCGCTCATTCAAATACAAAGGCCTAAAGCAAAAATGTTTTATTGTATCGATCGGAGCACGGGGTAATGAAATGTGTTTGATTTAATGCTAAGTGTGGAATTAGGGGTTTCTACTAGTACCTGCTTAGGTCCAGCGATAAACAGTTTCCTTAGGTAATCGAATAAAGTAAGTAAACTTTGTGACGCAATGAGGGAGACTTTGGGTTAGTAAAAGAGACACTTTGAAAAGTGACGGGAAATGCAGGTACCCTAGAGCTACTCAGAAGTGACTATCATGCTGAAGAAAGCTCTTCTAAGTTACCAAGTCGCAAATCGACCAGTTTGGAAATCCACAAAATGCATTTACTTATATAAATTTGTCATCGCTAAATTTTTAGTAAGCTCGGGATAGATTGTACGCCTGCTTATCGGCTACACTCGTTTGATTTCGTCTTGTTGAAAAACAAACACTTAAAATCTGCTCAATTTGTTTCAGAAACCGACTTGACCAAAAGCTGATCCTATTTCTTATCAAGATCAGATGTGGTTGTTTGTTTTATGTTCGCAAAGTCCTGCCAAAAGTAGCAGAGTTGTAAGCAGAGGTGGGGTACAGTTGCGTGAACATAAATACTCAGAGTAGAATCAGGTATCAAATGAGGAACCACGGAGAAAGGCGAAGTCCATGTTGAAGCATGGGACTTACGTATGGTGAGAAGCGTGGTGAGTGGCGTGTTCGGGGCTCTTGGTCAAAGGAGTGCACTAGCACGGATGCACACGCGCACGCGACGAATGGGTTGGTCTGTCCGTCTCACTGAAGCGTTCAGTGCGCACGACCGCGTACGTCCTCTCTCGCCTGTCCATACGTCCAAAGGACATGCGACAGGTGGCCCCAGCAACACGCTTGGCCCGCTGTGCGTACCCTCCACCTGCACTAAGCAATCTGCTGCCTCCACCTCCCCCTTCCATTCGTCTTGCTCGGCTAGCTAATTAGGCTCCGGTTTGTAAATACATACGAAGTTTACCGTTGGTATTTCACACAGAAAACTTGATGGCCTTGTCTTAACAGCCATTCCACCCTGACGGACCAAAGAAAGAATGCATTTCAGACGAGGCAACTAAGTAGCTGTTCTCATGCCGTTGCATACATTGATACAACGTTTGTATGCTGCTAAGCTCGAGAATAGAGACCAATTTATAAATGGGTGCAGTGAGATTAGTTTAGCATTCCAAACCAATATTCTTGACCCCAGCCACAGGTATAATGCCCATGCCTTTCTTCAGATCAAAGTTTCCGTGCAGATTAATGTATGAAAGTTTTTATTTTGTCCACCTCAATTGAAAAAGTTTAACGATCTAAAATCTGACGGGTCTACAGTGAAAATAAAGGGGTTGACAATACTCTGTATTCTTCAATTTAACCAGTGATTTTGTAGTGTTTTACTTCACTCAGACTTTATGAAAAGGTTCTGTCACCCTGACTTTTATTTCTCTATTTAAATAGGCTGGATTTGGGTTGTTGTTGTTTGCTGTTGTGATGATGGCTGATACGTCAGGAGCCCCATTAATAACTTCTCTTGTTTTTTGGCTCCTCACTAACCCAAAACTTCCGGACGTATCCACCATGCATTTGACCTCTGTCACTACCCAATCGTTCCCTCACCGATTTGGTCATGAATGCGGTAAAATTGACGAACCTAGCTGCACTAAGCTGAGTTGCATTCTCAAATATATTATAACGCTTTAGATATAGTTAATCAAGCCGGATAGACATGCATTATTAAAGATGGTAAGTAATATAATTAGTTTAATGTGGAATATATGATAGATTGGAGATTTTAAGAAAAAAAGAGCTTAATCTTCACCAAAACCCATCCTGCGTATTTATAATTATGAATTGTGCCGAGACATCTTAAAACATAAATCGCCTGACATTTGTAGGGACTTCAAAAAACGAGTAAAGTTGCTTCACATCACTGAGCTAATTCCTTGTGGCCAAATTCTTTTTGCAAATGGATCGTCGAGCCAGTATTACTCTAAGCAATCCATCAGCGCACTTCCATACTATTCGTATATGAAGACGTACGTGAGAAGTCAATCTTACACTGTTCCAAATTGCAAGTAAAGTCAATACCATGGTAGCCTCTTTAAATGAAGTGAAAATACAAATATTTTTGTGATGAGCCAACTGCCTTATTAGTTAATCAGGCAAATATTGTAGAGTTGACCCTCCCACAGATATGCAAAGAATATTGGCTGAAGGCATCAATGAACAATGGGCTTCCAATATGAACCGGATCATAAGAGGCTCTACACTTATTTGAAAAAATTATGCTTTCAATGCGTCTATTCCTAACTGAGGATCTAGCTGTTAAACCTAGTTCACAACAGCAAAGACAATTTGAATTTAAATATAAAAATCAAGAAATAATTTCTTAAATGGAGCGATCCATGTGGTAGTTCATGCAGATTTGTACAAATGAAAGCTCGAACGATTGGATGCAAAATGCATCATGCCGGGTAAGTTTATGTAGGAGTCTTGCGAACTAGAAACGGCATGGAAAGGACGATCGCATACCACGTCCAATTTCTTGACTCCTATTGTAAACTGATTGTGATGGTAATGTCTGTTGCTATCCCTGCATACCTGGCGTGTCGCCTCAACCTCATCACCGTCGTTGCTGCAGCAAATGCCTCCAGGAGGGTCAGTATTGATCAAATTTTATTGCATCTCTGGTCCTCTCACCGTAACTAATTGAAATCCTGCCTTTCAACCGTTCGCATTCTTTAGTCGTGGTTTAATACCACTTTCATACAAAGTTAACAAAAGCTTGTTTAAAGGCAATGATTTCCCAACATTTTTGCATTCACGAATGTGATTCCCACACCTTTTTAAAATTGATGGAATTTCCTAAAATTGTATTTTAATAAAAATGTGCATTTAGTTAGTTAATTATTTGCACTGTAAGAGGTTGAGCAAAATGCAATTCCATGACATTTGTTGTGTCAAATCAGCGATATTTTTCCATGATCTTTGTGATCAGCTTCAGATTTCACGGAGTATAAACGCGCTCTTTGGTAAAATAAAAAGCTTCTGATAACAAAGAGGGCTTTGAATGAGATTACGGTAGACCTGATAATCTTTCGTGAAGCGTAACAATAACGATGCTGGAGGCACAAAGTCGATGCGATCACGAAAACCTGGTCTAAGTTATGTAAATGTGTTAGATTGTCCCGCAATTAAGTAGCCTGCCCAAAAGTAATTTAAAACTGAAACAGTATTCAGTTCCTATTTTACTGTAATGCACTAGTCTTAATTGAGTTCGTACAATTACCATTGTGTGCAGAATGAACCAAATTGATCTAGAGCATGAACACTGCAAGAATGATCTCTCAGGTGGCTTTTGGAAGGTAGAACTAACCTCTTTTTATAGCTCTTATTTTATGACCAGCAATCGTGCCTCCATTCAAATCCGCATGAATTTGGATGTCCAGTACTCTGCGCAATTAAATTTTCTCTATTGACCTGGTAAGGAAGGTGCTTCAATGTGTGCGTTGCTTAGGGGTCGAAATCCCAGCTTATCCTTAAAGTGCATGCAATCTCATATTTACTATACACCATTCAGTGACAGCAGGCACAAATTATGGAATGCTTGACCGCGTAATCTTAATCTGGATGAGCAGCCCAGGAAAATCTTTAATAATGCCTCCTCCAGATTAATTTACTGTTCTAGGTACTGTGTATAAAATCTTGCGACCAGTATTGTAAGGATCGACCGCTTTATTTAGCAGTTTCTAAATCATTACTGCTCGAAGGTATTACACTGTGTAAACTCTCCCCTATGAATTAAGGTATCAAGCAGAAAAGAAGGAAATGTGGAGGCCAGCTTTCATGATTGAAAACAAGTCTACTAAGAAACATACTCGAAATCGGTTCAGTAAGTGGTTATGGCATCTCCATTTTACTGCGATTCTCAGCCGATTGTGGTGCTGGATCTCGGGGTGGTATGAGGTTGTGTGCCACTGCCTTTAGACTTGTCGGAAATTTTTTTTTTCGGATGACTTAAAATTGGAAGTAGTTTGTGTTGTACATCCGACCTTCATGCTAAAAGAAGCAGAATTAAGGTGGAGTTAAACTAGTTGGGAGCAAATGCAGCAACTGGACGAAAACTTTTAAAATAACCTTCACTCGGAAATCACTAACAAACTTTCCTCTCAACCAAAGGCAAGAAAATGCAATTAGGTCTGAGCACAGTAGCCGCCAAGTAATAAAACGGCAAATAAGTTCATCTGACCTCAGAAAGACCTGCAGAGAAAAGGATTCCTGGTTTTCGTGTGTATCTTAAATGGACTCGTCTGAGTGTTATTTAGGTGTACCTGTAAACACTCAGGTGAAATTTGGCCTTTTGTTGAATAAGGGCTTTATAGTTCATTCGTCTACTTATTAAGTACTTTAATTTTACAGCCTTAATTCTGAAGTCCCTGCTTCTTGATATTAACGTAACCCTAAGTGGTGATCTGTTGATGCGGTGTATCGTTTGAGGAAGTAAAAGTGTATGTAGCACTTGAAACAACCATGATCCGCATTATTCTGATCAGATTAAAAGGTGATCTTTCCGAATGTTTTCTGCTGAAAAAAAATGGTCATCCTTGGAAAAACATAAAAGAAAGTAGGAATTAAATCACTGGGCAAATTATACATGCATCAGTTTTATATGGTCACCCATAACTTCTAGATACAGGTATGGTAGATTTTTTTTGTATGAAAATGCGTTATTCACAAAGTGCTAAATGTTGGAAGAAAAGTTTGAAATTCAGGGTCAGGAAAAACATCGTAGTAGCCTAAATTTTCCTTTTTATTGTCCGAAATCTCTGTTGAGTGTAATTTTGAGGTGCGCTATTGGTAGCATTTATGCGTTTGTTTTACTTCCTTTTTCAATGATGCTCATAGTGGCGGCTATTAACCTGAACCATAACGGTGGCAACTAGCCACCTAGGCTGTTTTATGATATTACAGTTTGTTAAGCTGCACTTTTTAATGCACCTGATTAATAAAGCCATTCAATTCATTTTACCGCGATTTATTGGCTGTGAAATGTCCACATGATGTTCACAGGTTTGTAGGCAGCATAATTTTCCGAAGTGCTATTTTCAAAAGGTCCCACACGAGTGAACCCAAGCGCTACTAACATCGATCAAACGGCCATAAAACCACCCACTAACCGGATTAAAGCTTCGGCTTTTGATGCGCAAATCGGTTGATGGGTTTCCGGTGGCCAGAACCACAGCACTTGAGACGCTGCCTTCCTTGACCGACGGGCACAGTTATTTATTACCATGAAGGCACACATTGCCCAAACACCTTACACGGTTATGGGATCAACTTAGCGAGCACTCGGAGCAGCAGTTGAGCTGTCATTTATCCAACTGCTTTGACTTGGCCCTATGTCAAATTGAGAGCCTGCGTCACAATTCTCAACACACGATAACAAAAAGGGAAAGGTACCCATTAGCTGTTTTTGAACAGTTAGTTTTTGTCGAAAACGTACTAGGCACGTTCACAGAGCAGCTTGGGCGTATCATATTTTGCGTTTTGGATAAGGCGGTTCCCACATTAATCATGCATGCTGAGAGATTTCTTCTCCAAATTTCGTTTAGTCAACTTACTTTAGTGCATTACAAGTCACTGTTCCTGTTCGATCAAAAAGAAGGCAGGATGCACAACTTTTCTTCAAATTGTCAATTTAAAAGCAAGAGGCGTTTCTGCCATCAAGGTTAGGCGAAATCACGAAAGTAAAAGGGCCCTCACTTGAATGACTTCTTGTCCAGGCACGCAAGTAGGGACAACAGTAGTGAATCATTTAGCATTTTTATGGTTTTCACTTTTGAAAAATGTATAATAGGTGCATTTACTTTTGGGACCAATCCGTTTTCATTTACTGCCCACCAATGTATCTGAGATTTTAATATAAATATAAGTAGAAAAGCAAACGAATTTAGCAATTTCCATAGGAGATAACAAAGTTGGCATAACCTTATATAGGTCCTCAAGATTACAAATGATCCCTCCACTCTTGCCGCATGTCATTTTACTACAACTACTCTCACACAACTTTCTTAAAAGGAGGGTGTTTGCCTGTGTGTACCACCGGTGTAGATAGTTTCTTTGATCTACTTCGATACACTTCAAAACCGCTTTAGTGTATGCATAATCCAGAAATTTATTTGTTTAGTAAAACCAACAAATGTTAAGGTTGATTAAAGTAGCATCGGTTGACGATGACAGTTCAGTCGTCCCAACCGCTTACAATTCGGTGAGGGTTCAGGAGAATAAATAATGAACTTCAGCGTCCACTCCACCTCCTGTTCGGTGTTGCAGTTACTTGCGATGGTAGTCCCGCGGCTTCCATTAGTTAAATTGTGTGCGGCAGATAACTGTCTGTCTTGGATTCCTAAGAGTTCAGTGGTGAAAAAGGCATGAAATGGGTCCAAAACACTTAGAATGATTAATCAGCATTTTAGATTCTTTCAGTTACGACCATTCCACTGTTTACCTTGGTTGACTTACCTTAGAATTGATCAAAAGTGTTGAATCCGAATGGTATAATAAAATAAGGACATTTATACCTCACTCTGCAGAAATTGTGTTTTATTTCATTAAAGACACGTTTGAGAGAGTACATCAGGAAAGTTATTTACTGCTTTGGTTTTCAACCACCTACCAATATTTATAGCCTGTGCATTGGAAGTAGCACAACAGCTAACTTGCTACACAACCATTTGATGATAAGTAACGAGGAAGCAGGGAAACTACTCAAATAAAAAACTGCATGAAATTTGTATTATGTAACATTAATTAGCATGATTTCATTTAAAGAATGTGTTTAAACATCCACAATTTATGCATGTGATACTGCAATACAAAAATCTGCTCCAATTAAGGGAGGATTTATGGCTAATCGGAGAGTAAAGAGTGGCACACAATCACATTACACTCATGACATTAAAGAGGAGTCATTGGGGCGATTCTGATGGGAGTGGGAATGCGTTCTTTCTTGTTAGCACTACTTCAAACTTGTTCATCAGAAAGTGCATGGCTAATATTGGGCATTCTCCTCAAGTGTATTTTCTACTTTTTATCATTAAGCGATCCGAAATCTTCTAGTTGGTCGAATTTAAAAGCCCATTTTAAGTTTATTTCTGGCAAGAAAAGATATCGCAATTTTCCAAATGCAATTTCACATCTCCTCACAAACTGACGACAGCCGATCCTTTACGTCACGGATAGTTTAAAAATTTTGGAAGCGAATCATTCCCACGTCTATTAGCTCTTGTGGTAGTTGAATAACAGCATTTTTGCTAACCTGTTGCCTGCGAAGTTCTATATTTGCATGGAATGGTGGAATAATGCATTCAGATAATTTAGTTAGTCGCGGTATTCACCCTAGTAATATGGGGAAGCGTATTGAATTTCTCCTAAGAATTCCTGCTTATTTCTGAACTTTGGCAGCTAGTATTCCTAACGCAATTCCATGGTTCACATGAAAGGTCTCTTACTTTGGGATTTTTTAAATATGGGTCGTGGATCATGGTCCTTGTTTTGCAATTTACTTTCAAACCACTGTTCCCACAATGCCTTAAAGTCATCTAGGACTGTCGAAATCTTTAATTTATTTCGCTGTCTCCTGCTTAGCATGAAATTGCTTTCTAGTTTTTGAGGACTCACAAAATACTAAAAATTTATTTGCATCCTCTCCTGAGAGTACCCAACAGTGGCCACCAGCACTACGCAAGAGAAGTGTAAAGCAGCTATGTTCGAGATGGGACTTTGATAAATTATCGACTACCCTTAGATTTTGAATCTCAGCTAATACACATGAATTGCCCTTTATTTAAAGGGAGAAAAATTATTAGTCATGGATGGCAAATAAGTAACATCCTTCAAAATATGGGATTATAGTGAAGGTAAAAAGTTGGCACTTGTGTTTTATCCTCCAATTTTCATCTCATAGGTATGTTATAGCTATGACACTTCAATTTCTGTCCATATTTTAGTCGACAATAGCCTGATGACTACGTCTATCAGACTGAATTGTGAGGTCTTCTGTAAGTTGGAATCAAAAACTTTATTTGATTAAGCAATTAGTATGAGAGAGGTAGATGTACATTATTATTCCTGATAAGAACCGCAGATTATCAAATGAAATGATTCAATATAGTTTTCACATTCGTTTCATGGTCTCCAACTGAAAATTTGAATATCAATAGCTCCTTCGGTATGAATATCCTTTGAATGCCCAAGGTAAAATTATATCAGTAGTTTTTGTCGTTTAATATTTCAGTTTGATAGAAATGACAAAGTTCTCTCGGCAAAACTTCGGAAAAAATAGACCACTTTCAATCCACTTATATTAATTCCTGACTTTGAAGAACGCAGAAAATGGCAATATCGGAGCAAATGGACCCATACTTGACTTCGTAGCGAGGGGAAATCATGACGACATTGGCTTTACCAAAGTGGAACATCTCCTTTGCCACCACATCTAATTCTCTTGCTAAATGTTTGAACTCAGGATCAGCAGCGGATAACATTCCTCTTGGGCGGTTAAACATTAGCATTATTTATGACTGAAATGGAAGTTGATGACCCGCTAATGCCTGCACTGAACTGTGTTGTCATGATTAAACATTGTCCATTTATTAGTGAATCACGAATAATAAGTTCATCGGGTACTGAAGTTAATGGAACAAAAGAGAGTTGTTCTTAATATTGCCAAATGGGTCGCGGTTCTCTAAGTTGAACTTAAAAACTCATTGTCCCTGGTGCAAGTCAGGAATGTAAAATCTCCCACTACTAGTAGAAACATTTTGATCATCAGGGTTTTGTGAAACGAAGCATGCCAATTAACTTTCTTCTTTTAAAAATATTTACATTGTAAGACGCCTTCAAGTAAAGAAATTGAATATTATTAATGCATTATCTACTAGCACTCTATAACCAAAATCTTCATTTAAAAATTTCGTTCGCTAGATACGTGAAGGAGAATGCCATTTGCCTTATGATTTTCTTTTCCATTGCACCACCCTACGCGGTAGCACCCACCACCCCATTTGAAATTATGGAAATTAATTCACAGTTTAATTTGTGTAATCTCATTTAACCATGACAGCAAGACGAATAAATGAATCAGGTGATCTTGCCATTTATAGAGCCTGGCAAATGAGACACATTTAGGAACAAATCGCGTCTTGGATTCGATAGCAGTGACACAAGTGCTCCAGCTTAGGTTGATGCTCACGTTTGTGGTGGAGTTTACAGCACTTGTAAACTCATTTACAAGGATTCCTGGTCGTTAACCAATCCTACCAGAAATTTAAACCATCAGTCTTTTCAAGAATTACCCTTTGAGATTAAAATAAGCCTGATTACTAGTAAAATTAGTTATTTTTGTGTTAGCCTACGCTGAGAAGTCTGAATGAACTTAGACGAAAGTCAGAGGCTTGGGTTGTCGAAAATGCTTAAAAGTACGCTTCTTTAGGCTCTAGAAACTTGTATCATCATTGCGGTTGCAATGGGATAGTAGTAGTAGCAGTAGTTCAACTTTATATTAGTCGAGACTTACATTAAATTTTGTCTCTTGGCAGAGTTAAATGGCCAGTGAATAGAATAATTAGTTTGATTTTATTTAAGATTTTCGCCGCAAGAGGACTTTAACTAACCGTGCATCCCCTGCACACACTTCCATTCGGAATTAAAATGAGCTACTGACACCCGAATCACGCGAAGAGAAAAAAGCTATAAATTTTCCAATGCCATTTGGGGGAACTAGGATTTGTTTTCTTATAAATGGATGCCTTTAATTTATGGAATAGTTGAATGGGAAATTTGCGCGCGCATTCATTAGGTTAGCACATTTAAATGCAGGAGTGATATCTGGTACTGAAGGAAGAAGGAATGGACGATAAATTGACTCCTATCCAAAATTCTGACCGGGTAGGGCTAATTTCCCCTCAAGGGGTAGTGCATGCAAATGGCAACACGAGCTTTATTAGTAGGTGGATGCCAATCAGGGGAGCAAACATTAAGTGGACAGCTGTCACTTTCGATTAAGCAGGCAAACAACTGCCCAGATGGGCGAAGGCTCTCGCCCTCACTAAAAGGGAATCCGATAACGACAAAAGAGCAAATTAATACGAGTGAAGTATTGTTTTTTCCTCTACCAACGGAACAATTAAAACAAACCAGATAATTTTATTCTTAAAGAAAATTACAAGTTGAGAAATACAACTGAAAGATAGTTTCTATACCAGTATTATTAACAGGAATTCATTTTGCACCTTCTTCGTTCCTGAAATTTGCCTGTTTTCACTCAGCACTTATAATCACAGGAGGATATACATACTCAGGTAGGGGAGAGAGTAATATTGCCAGTTAGGAAATTATTTATCTTAAATTAAACGAGCTTTCACTCTTTAAACCTATTCATAATGAATGAGGTTCCTTCTGTAACCCTGTTGGAGTAATGATGGTCTGTGGTAATCACGGAAGCCACATGGTGTGTTGTGCCAGTACTTCCCCACTCAAACTACCTTTCAGAGGTGTCTGTGTTTTTGTTTTGCCGTAAATAATTCTGCAAATCCTACCCCGTAATAGCATTTTCCTATTTTCTAACCCCCCAGGGAGACCCATTACACCCACGTGGTAGTTTTATTCTGCAAAAGCCGACACTACGGTGTGCACAGAGGACTTTGCCTTTCCTCAGCACATAGTTGAGCGAAATATGGGAAAGTTTTACCAAGCACATGTTACGCGAGGTTGCACGATGACTACGTTAGTTGAGTGGATCACACTCGCGCACGATTAGTTTAACTGCAATCCTGATAATGAGCAGAAGTAAAAGGCAATGTTATTGTCTTTGCATGGCTGTTTCCAATCAATTTGTAAGAATTCTGCGACTGTTCCCTACGTTACAATTTAAACCGCAAAAAATCAAGGTGACAAGCATCCGCTATTTTAATTCATGACAAGGAATGGGCACCTTTTAAAAACCTTATTGCATTTTTGAGGAATAGAAAAATGAGCCATAATAATAACCCCACATGTCAGCACATCCTTCATATCTATCTACTTTTCGTGACCACATACGATATAGATTTGCAAAGATCCATTTTCCAAAGAAAATTAAACACCTGGGATAAACTTTTAGATTCCCATATTAAATGCTACTTATGTAGACTCAGTAGCAATGCGTCAAAATACTTCATGCAGATGAAGGGGAGTTGCCTGCGGACAAAAGTTGGATAAGTAAGGTTATAAAGGAGACGATAAATGAGCACTCACGAGAAGTTTCTAAACGACATTTTCTACTAGAAGGCCTGGAAAGAAGGGATAGAGTTGGCAAAAGCCATGTATACAACAAACGACGTCAGATGTCACGTTTAATGGACCAAGTGGGAGCAGGGCTCGTGGTCCTGGTGAGCGTGCTGGGCCGCGACTGCTGGTGGAGATGGTGAGGCGTAGAACAGCCATGCACTTGCCGCTGTCGTTCCGCCGCCTGCACCGCCGAGGTAACATTTTGGTTGGCGTCGCGCAGCTCCTGAAGTACCTCGTCCAGTCCGCGCATATTCAGACGTACTAGATCGGTGGGCGACCTCTCCTCCGACTCGTAGACGCCCGAGCCGAAAGAGAGTGACTTGCCCGGTGGCGATTTGTACACACTCCTCAACAGGCCCGAAGTAACTTCTGTCTCCCCTCCTTCCCTCGGTGTCTCTCCTCTATACGGACGGTACGCCCGCATGCTCGACATGCCTGTCATCCAACTGTGGCGTGGAGACTCCAATGATGCTGAGTACACCAAAGACCCTCTTCTCAAAACAATGCGTGTGCTTATTTGCTTATTTATAGCTAACTGTATACTACGCTGTACTCCTTTAGCAATCATGCAACGCTTCCCTCTGAGACAAAGGTGATGTAATGAGCGTGCCTAGGATTTGCCTCACCATGACTCATGCCTAAATGTTTAAGTTACCCTAAATTAAATAAAAGTAGCGTTGGTTGCCATGCACAATAGTGTTATTTACTACTGTGTACTCAAATTAAATTTAGGGTGATGAGTGTGATTATACCTACAACTTAGACAAGCAGAAAAAAACAACTTAGTGAAAACAAGTATTTTCATAGAGACAAACAAGTATGTGAACGATAAAAAGGATGGCTGAGAAATTATTGCGCTGCAACATCAATTGGACCGAGTCTCTTTGCTTTCTTTTCGGCGCTGCTCGTGTTGCTGACAGTTCTACATGCTTCTAAATGCAACCTCTTTTCGCATTAAAATGTATGTTTAAGGAGTACATTGCTTGCAGTAGCCTGATGAGCAGACTCGCTGTTTGATTGTTGGTTTTCAAGGTCGGTGGCTCATACACGCATGTTGTTAAACCACCCTGACACCTGACTAGAGGAATCAAGGTGCAAAAAATGTAACATTGATAAACTCCGGGAATTTAGTCGCATACAAAAATTGGTAAGGTCTTTCGCTATGGCGCAGTCAATGCTCTTTGAGTGATCGTGGACCTCATAACACACTTTTCTATCCATTTAGCCATATTCAACAGCTAAACCGGGAGAACTAACTGTTGAAAAGATATAGGTAGACTCGAACTCGGTGATATTCTCATTCAAATACTACAAATTATTGGAAGTTATACAATATCGCAGTATTTTGACATTACGACTTGATAATCGAATGCCCGTACAGCAAGGATGCACCACTTTATTAGCTAAAATTTCATTATTTCAGATTGTGAAAGTCAGGAAATCAAGGAAATGTGAGAATACAACAAGGCATAACGTCAGCGCTCTGTGGATCAACTAAAGGTACGTGTCTTATCACATTATCATGACCTACTTTGGCGATAGCTGGCCAGATCGGAGGTCTTTGGAGAATAGTTGACAAATGATTTGGGGACAACGGATGGTGGTGTGTTGTTGATAACAGTGGCACCGTTGTATCTAACCGAATTTCCAGACCTGCTCTCATCACCCTCGAGAGCATTAGTGATAGTGATGGCGCTGGTGTTCGCCTCGCGATGTTGGCGGGGTAGGAGGAGGGGGGTAGTGGGTGGGGGCGGAGCGGGAGGAAGGTTGGTGTCCTCTGAACGCTGCACCCTGGTACTTGGAGGCCCCAGACCGCTGCCCGGATGCCTACCCTCCGTCCCCTGCGTATCCTTTTCACCCGCCTTCTCTCCACTCTCCGAGGTGGGCACGTTGTCGTACAAGCGCAGCTGGTGCGCAATCCCATTCGATGTTGCCTCCTTCACTTCTGCTGTTGGCGTCACTGGTGTTGGTTCTTTTGATTGCAACTGCCCGTTGGTCTTCAGTTGCGCAGCGATCTGGGCAGACAGTAGTTGCGATAAGGCGTTTTCACTGGCAGGAGTGATTCAAACTCTCTTCATCAAAGTATTTAGTCTCCAAACGGCTGTCTCAATGCTCATTAGTCACAGTGCCTATTGATTAGTTACCACTACAGTTTCATTCACAGCACCTAATTTTATGAAGGTACCCGTGTCAATTGCGCGAATGTATCAACATGATACCTTACAAACGCGTATGTTTAATAATTTCACGATGGTAATCCGGTGGTATGCGTTTGCTGAGAGTTAAGATGAGTTGATAATTATGGCAACAGTTGTGCTAATATGAGCTTTGAGATATGCGCTTAAAAGACGAAAAATAACTCAACGAACAGATTAGGTCCTTTTCCTCTTCAAATTGACTTAAAATTCTTGCGACTACCAAACTTAAACAAGTCCTCAATCAGGAGTTTAGACTATCACTTTGTGTTGGGTAAAAACATTTAATGAAACAAACACTGTTTCCCATTCTGTAAAATTTAATTGCGGTTTCCCTCATCTTCACGCCAATGTAAAAGCCCACCACTTTTAGAAGTTTAATGTAAACCTTCGATCCTTCTTAGTATTTTGCACATTTAAACTGCATTTCGTCCCTCTTAAAATATTCTTAATCTCCGAAAGTTATTACAACATTAACCATTGAATGTACAATTTGCTTGGATGTTAAATGGAGCTAAAATCGAGTTAGTAATTAGGTAATCTAGCATTTATCCCTCACGAATTATGCCTACAACAGCCCCTTGTAAGATGCGTATAAGAATTTTGGGCTCGTGAGAAATCCAATATGCTGCTTATTTTAATATCATTCATATTTGTACGTGATAAACATTATATAGTTTTGGATTTCCTAAGCCCACTTTAATAGGTTTGAGCACACACTTACAGCTTTTCCCGGTGACGCAATAAACACGCCATTGTTATTACCCACTGCCTTTTCCATTGGCTTTTGTAATGAAATAGCTGAATCCGTGGCACCGCTGGGTAAGCAGTTCCCCTGAACCTCCTCCCCCTCCTTCTGCGATACGGTTTTATCCAATATTTCCTCCACTTGTCGTCTGACTGGTGTTGATGAAGCTCTCTTGAAATTCCCCGATGTCCACCAGCCACCGTTGCTGCCCTTGCCACTGTCATTGCCACCGGGGTTGATGGTGCCACGCCAGTTCCCCTTCGGACTAGGACTCCTGTTACCCATTTTGGAGAAGGACTTAGCACTTCCCAAGTCGGGGGAGCCCTTCAGCGGCACCGGTGGCGGGAGCTGATCCGCGGCACCGGAAGACCCCATCTCGGCAATGAAACAGTGTTCCTGATGTTGCTGCAGCATCTGCTGTCTTGCGGCCTGCTCCTGACGCAAACGCTGTTTGGCCTCGAGAGCAAGATGGCGAATCTGCGACACGATAGCATCCACCGGTTGGTTGTTACTGGGAGAACACATGAAGAAGAAGCGGCCGTCGCCGGTGGAGCATCGGCGACCCGCGTCAATGCGCAGCACGCCTCCTACTGCGCCGAATCTGCAATCAGGCAACTTGGTCATTAACCCCACTTATTGTTAACTTTTTTGTTAATATCTCTAGCCCTTGCACATAAACCCCAGAATTCAATCAAGTTCTCCAAAGCTGATAAAGGATGACAACTGGCGGTGGCACCTCTGTTCAGCGGATATTTTAATGTCTTTTACTTTAAAGTAACCTAAATGTACTTATTGAGTTACAGTAAACTTAGCGAGGAAGCGCTTTTAGGTTTCACGAAAATAATGGGTCCTAAACTAAGTCCATAGCTGAATTCAGCATATTGAAAAGCATTTAACAAAAGTCGGTCATGATCATTTCCAAGGAAATAAAGTGTGTGCACAATTGGTAACCATATAGATTGGGATTTTGAACCAAATTGTCATTCACGCTGTGAGATCACGTTAATAACTAGTGATATTTTAATCGAATTTCCCTTAAGGAATTTGTGCATACGAATGCCTTTTTTCAGATAATCATCGCTAAAAACAAGAACAATGGATGCGAATACGATTGTCTGAACAGAGTAACTCCACTTTGTGGCAGAAAGCATAATCGCGTGGAATAAGTTGTAAGGGTGAAGCGGGCCTGTGATCCTTCACATGATGTTTACAGGCTACGCACTGGCCGCGTCGTGCAGATGGATTGCAATGGCCTCCACAGACGAGGTAAAAGGCTTCTGCGTAATTGTACGTGGGAGTTGTTGGTCTTCGCGAGAGAGCTCTGTTGAATTTTGGTGTGCCAGCACGTATATATGTGCAACAGATACGAAGTCACGGCGCCCATTTCCTGGACAATTGGCCTAGTCATGCACCAGTGCACCTCCTCGGACAGTTTGGATAGCACCTCTAAGTTAAGCGTTGTCTGAGACGCCACACTACGCTACACTATCTCTTGTACTGCATTGTGATTTGCACAAGAATGTGGCACCAAGTTTGCAGAGTTAGCTTTTGGGTTTATTCCGTAAATCGTAAATAGTTGAAGAAACTTAAAATTTTCCGAACATCCAATCGTTTGTCCCCTCGAAAAGAATGTAAACCCAAAATTCGTGCAAGTTTAACACCGTTCGAGTTTCTTAGACTGTGACAAAATCGGTATGATTTGGTAAAAAGAACTTGTGTGATGGCTTGACGATTTCCATTTTTCTCCAAGGCGATTAGCACGTGACAATTCTTGGCTTAAATTGCAACGCGAGGCACAGCACTTTGCCAATGTATCGGCCTATTTCATCCACTCTGAGGATGTTGAGAGAAGCATGAATCGCAAATAAACAGGCACGCAACCATCATTGCCACAAAAGGCGTAGATTCGCAACAAGAGAGTGCTAGAGTGAAGGCTAGGATAAGAAATCAGGGGCGTGAATTGAATAGCTCCATCACGAAAATGAAACACTCCTAACAATTAGGTGTCAAGCCGAAGCCATCAAAAAGTCATCGGACGTGATTTTACACCACAATATTTGAATCTTTTTTAGTGAGTCACTTGTTTCCTCATTTATCTTTTCTGATCTTTTCGAGCCCACAATATGAAAAATCGATGAACCATCATTTTCGGAACCGAAAAGCTAACATATATTATAGTTTTTGAAACAAAGTATAGTCTAAGTGCCGCGAAACCTCAAATAACAGTGAGGTGAAAGGTTCAGTAATTTCGCGAACTTTGGGTGCTATACTATGGTCGCCACAGGCTCCTTGTCATTACTGTCCTTATAATAGACTTGTCGGAGAAAATACGCAGGAAGTTGAGGGGTTCCCGACGCTGTCCAATGGAGTGTGCAGTGAGAGGACCACCAAACAAAATTGTAGTCAAGGCCATAAATAACTTTAGCCATGCTTGTGATAATACCTCCAGAGTATGTGGATTACACATATGAAAGTAGCGATCGCTGGATGGACACTTGTTCAACATCCTTATGAAAGGAAATATTCATCATCCCAAAATCGTCCCATTCAACAAATTAGCCGGAATATTTGTGTTGCAGCTAAAGCAAGTAGCATATATTGTGCTGTATCTAACCTAGTGGTTGCCAGAATAGTAGTTTCCTTTTTCGAATTTAGGAACCGTAAAAGTGCCAAAAAGTTCGCTGGAGATCCACTTCAATTTTACTTTAGGAATCCCTGAATACCCCCTCAATTTTTAAAATAGAGCAACCCTTAACTAGTCCCTTCTTAAAAGGGAGATCTTTAAGAATATTAAAATCCTGGTGATGCCCTTTTCGTCATGCCGTCCCTGCTGATACGTGAAACGCGGATTTTCCGGTGAATGGTAAGTGCATGCTTATAAGTATACGCGCTCTAAAGTGCGTCCAAATGCACCATGAGTTCAACTGGTGTACACTTGTCGATACCTGATCCGTGATTTACGTCAATTTACGCAGCGACACGCAACTCTGGTTCCAAGTACATGCAAGCACGCATCTCCACCCCACCGAGGCTTCGGTTGGTCGCGACATGTGGCACGCTATTGTGGTCTCGGCTTCTCAACTGCCCACTTTCACCACTGATCAAGGTGGTGTAAAGCTTCTATCTATACTAACTGATTAAAGTGCAATTACTTGCATACATTTAGCCCAGGATTTGTTTTGGCGGGAGAAAAGGCCAGTCGATGTTAAAGGAAATTATTCTATTTGCATTTTAGTGGCCCCAATCTCATTCGTCACCTCTAAGAATTTAGCCTCTCATTGAAATTTGAAATTAACGCCCTACCCGCACACAATCTACGACACGTAATCAAACCTCATGTTCCAAATTTACTAGAGTTTTGCGCTTTTTTCATTACACTTCTTTACGCTTTCTGCCATAATGCTCATTTAACCTGGGTCTGCATTCACAAGTAGGCATCAGTGAATTTTTTCTCTGTATTAAAAATATACAACAGTATTTCCCTACCAACTACTCTTCTTGCCTTGCGAAGTAGTAAGCGTTTGTGGAAAGAAACAACTTTTTGCTCCTCACACCTAGAAGATTTGATCTCTGGCGTCTATGAGACGATTACGGCAGTGAAGCTGAGCAGTAGCGATAACCTCATCATGACCTCGCATAGTGATCAATGAATGGAATTTGATGAGCAAAGCATTAGCACGCTTCCTACCTATAATGTTTTATTACCTATTGGTTAAAGTGAAAAGAATTAAATTCTGTCCAAATGCAGTACTAGTCGATACTGGAAGGGATACGCATTATTCTAACAAGACGGCGAAACCGTACTTGAAAGAGTGATTCCACTGGAACAACCTGCACAAATAAGGAAATAATCAGAACGGATTTCTGTTTGAAATCAGTTCCAACGGATTGACTTTTGAAGAGAGCATAATGACCGAAGATAGGATACTGATTGCCAATCGGCATCTCAGAAGATTCACCTGCATGCATTCATTCCGTGTCGCGTATGTGATGTAATATTCTACCGACACCAGGGTAGGCAGTGAGTCACTCCAACACTGCTACCGCTATCCTCGGTATAAACGGTGTATGGAGAGACGGACCACGCCTTCCTAGGAGGTTGTTGCAATATAGCATTCTACCGGTTGTGGGCGTTTTTAAAGTCGCTCTGGCTCAATTGGTCATTTGGTACTTACACGAGGCCTTCCGTTCATGACTTTTATGCTTCGTGGTTTTATTGGGTATGCAATTACCTTCGAGCCTTTTCAATATAGATTGGTATTTGGTGCATAGGGCATTCTCAGCCATTGCATACAGTAAGCGTCTTTAGTTCTTCATATTCGCAACTTGGAAACAACAAATTTGCAAGTACACATGTCGAATGTTGTAAGTAGGGAAATGGAAATAATTACATAGATTCAAAAGTTGCTGGAGATGTTTTAGGCATGTTGATTGTCGATACTTCTGGAAAGGATATTTTTCCCTTTAGTGCACCAACTAGGCTCAACATAGCCATCCTTTCAGTAGGCAACACGGTAGTTATTACAAGTTAAAACATCCGCTATGAATGAATTTACACCAAGGAAAGGTTAATGAACAATTTCTGGAACTACGGCAATTTCACAAGCATTATGGATATTTAATTCGTTCGATTTTCGACAGGTAAAGTTGACATTATTTTTTTAAATTGTTCTTTTGTTTACCAAGTACGTAATCAAGTATTCGGGCTATGTTACACCACATACTAGGAAGAGAAAAAAAATTACAAGGGCATTCAGATGCTTAATTGAATTCCTCAGCAGAAGAGAAGATCACATCAAGAGGAACCGTGGCGATGAAACCGTCTCGTCAGTTTGGTGCGTCGGCTGCATGAGAACCATCTCGGCAGCGTGAGCGGCACTGGCCAGCCTGCCCCACGTGAACCACCGCCGAGGCGGCGTGCACGTGCGATTCAGGGAGCAGCGGCTGACTGACTCGACTGATAGTAATAAACCCGCCGTATGATCACCCGAGAGCAGTGAATGCTCACCAACTGCGTTTTTTGCGTCGCGAACATTACACGATCGAGAAACATGTGAAATTACAACTGAAATCCACTCACTATTCAGATCGGGCCTGGACCATACGGAAATGCTACTATATTCACCATTAACTCTTTCAGACTGCATGAAATCACTGTGCACGGAATTTGAAATGCGCAAACACACGCGATATTCTTAGTGGCTCATTCAGTCTCACCGGACACAATCAGTTTATTACGTTAATGGGATCGTTTTCGCTATCCAAGTTTTGAAGAAAGTACAAAGCTATTTTATTTACACGACAAACAACTATTAGCGCTTACCCACATATAATACATGCCAATAGATTTGTTTCTAAGGTTTTCACACAATATTTACCAGTCTAGGGCGTAAGAGACTACAAAATAATCCAAAAATTTCATACAGAACTACTTGTGGTTTCATTTAGATACAAAAGAAGTTTACGTTAAGAATTCGCACAAGCATACACATCCTAAGGATGTGAAAAATTCACATAAATGGTAGGCGTTGTAACATTATTCTCAAACCTTTAACGAAATATGACTTTAGTGATTTTTAAACTCAAAAACTCTGATTGACTTAACAACACGAATCTTTGAAATAAAAATACGATTGTCTCCAACCACTTTGTAAAAAACAAAAACAAAAAAAATTGTCAAGATTTCAGCTGCACACTTACAATGACTATTAACTTCACACCAAATCCAGTACTGATTATTTAAAACATTGCCTTTTACCGCATTCACATTTCGCCATTCTTGGAGAAGGATGTTTGAGACGCATATAATCTGGGGGTGCTTTATTCCTAGTCTCGATAGAGAAAGGAGGCTACAGTAACTCCCCGATTCCGAGCATTGTCACAATACTATAAGGAAAAACTTTGTTAATGTGGGTTTTTAAAATTTTCGTGTCCGTTATTGTTTCACTTGTACCGAATAAAGTCTAGGAATTGAATTATTAGGGAAAACGCCGAAATGTACACAATATTTTCTGATCAATCTGCTCTAATCCTTCAAATTCATGGCCTTTGCATACCCTTTGCTGGCAAGACAATTTTCGCCAATCACACTCACGACTAAGAGCAAAGAGGGAGCCTTCAAGGTTGTAGGCTGTGCATGTCACTCACTGCGCATTTTTCGTGCCAAGGAGCCGTTTCTTCTACCGACGTGCGCCATGTTTCCTCCCCCCCTCCCACACCCTGACAGACAGATAAAGATTTTCATGCAATGCGCGCACAACGAGAGTGCTACCCTGTGGGGCCAAATGTATTTCCCGGGATGTGCAAGTCCATAAGCGCTGAGCACATGAGGTGCTCATTCTACCACTGAATTTCAACGATAGGTGTGAGTTCATCAGCAGAGGAGTGTCAAGGTAGGTTCATCAGACTTAAACAGCGCTCTCTGTTTAAGATGTACCGAGGGATTTCGAACAACTCTGGGTTGAGGCTAGGCCAACAAGAAGGTGAGTCCGTATTTCTCATGCCCCTTGTCAAGGAATGTTTAACTAAGGCGAAATTAGTGAGTGCGGCCCAAAACAACAGGTAGAAGCATGCGAATTAACACAGTGAATCACCTTTCCCACGACTAAGACTGAGAAAGGTAATTCATTATTATATGAGAAAAGAAAATTGGTGATTTTGCCGTTACAAGAAGTCATTGGTGTTTTTAGCAAAGTTTTTGCACAGACAATTTTTTCAGGGCGAAATCCAGACAGGTTTAAACATACCCTCCAAAATAAGAACGCTGCCCTTTGTATCAGATCCATTATTTAAAAAGTTATCGCAAACTCTCTCTCCATTCTGTCACATTATTTTTACATAGCTTATTAGTTTGCATCAAGATGTACTGCTCATCAACAAGCTGTATAAGTATTCTTCCATAATGGTGGCGTAATGGGATCTGGACGAAAACTGTTGGAAAATTGTTGCCTCTTCTCAGCATATTAGGACACTTCTTGATGTACTTTTATGAAGTGTGTGCTGGACACGCGCTTCAAATACAAGCAGTCCTCAAGCTAACATTTTTGTGGAGCAACAAACAAAAGCCTACCGCCGGATGAGCAGATAGGGGAACCAATGAAGGACCCGTTCGCCATTGTGATCAAGTAACTCCAGACGGTCATCAGTGAGGCGGAGAAAGCAATCCATCTTCGAAAGACGCAGCTTTTCCCAATCTCCGCGCTGTTGAATTATTGCTGGTATAAGGTCCTCTACCAAAAACAATGCAAATATGCTTTTTGTGCATTAACAACCTTCCTAATTAACATTATTAGAGGTCATCTGCAAAATTCTCAAATATGCAAAGGAATGATTGCTACAATAACTAAAGCATAAATTACTAAATCAAATATTGATTTAAATACTTCCACTTTTTTTCAAATTCTCATTTCGTACACCTTAAGAGCGGTATAACTCTAAAAATTTCACTGCAGATATTGGTTTTGAGTACAATTATAATTAAATAATGGCGAATGGTTTTTTAAAGAACTGAGCCCTCTCACTCCTAAAGGAAGTATCAACTTTCACTTCTGGGACGACAGTTTGTAAAAGGTGTTGCCTCTGCGTGAGTCGTTGGGCCGACACTTGTCCACGCCGAGAGAGGATGACCCAGGAGTAATTAAATACTAATGGTTTGTGTTGGGGTGACTTAATGGTTCTTTAAGCGACTGCGCGTAAACTTTGTCCTGCCCTGTACTAATTTGATGATGCATCCATTTTTTAAAAATCTGACTAAGAGGTAATTAACGCCGTTGGAGAATGACTAATTGGGCATGGTCTTGTTTATGTTAAATGTCCATCTTCGATTTATGAGTTAACGATCCTCAATAGCCTCTTCAAACACCTAATCACCTAGATAGAGTGGATGTTAGTCACTTAATATTTGACTCACGTGCAGAACATGGCTCATAAACCTCATTATCAATTGTGTCGATGTCAAGATCGTATCGATTATTGACGTTTGCGCTGGAATCGCCTCGAAGGGTATCCTGACTGTCCGATGGGCGCAGCGTACCCACCAGAGAGTCTCGCGACTGCGTCAGCGGATTTTTGGCCGCCTTTTTCCTCTTCCCCAGGTTAGCTTTAATCATAGACATCCAAGTAGTGGCCTCTGTCTCACCTGACATTGCGAGGTAAAGTCGTTTATTTCCGAAAATCCCCGCTGGAACTAACTTCAGAGCAAAGTAGCCCACATCGTTGATTGAAACTGTCACCACAGTGCATGACTTGTACTCGGAGAGGTTACAGAGCGCGGTGAAAGCCCGAGTAACTGGAGTCACTGACGAAAGCTGTGTGGGGTTGCTTGTGCTCGAAATAGTTCCAGTAGCTGAGACTCCTGAAAAGATGCTCTTTATATCCTCCTCAGTTTGTCCAAATCCCAACGGGCGCGATTTTATGCATAAAAAGGTGTCCGTATCATCTGTCAACAAGCGAACTTCACAGGGGACCCAATGATCCTGCGAAACAAACGTTAAATGAATGGGTTAATTTGTCGCTAATATACTTTGATCTATCCTGCGCGCTATAGCAACTGGTCAAGAGCAACACTTTTTAAGCATGGATTATGGAGAGGAAATATTCGCAGAATTATAAAATACCGACACTTTAAATTGGGTATCGCAAATAATGACCTGTTATAGATGACCAGATAAACATTAATCACGTTCAACATAAATTGGAGAAAGGTCAAAATTCACGGTTTGAACCCTAAGATAAGCATTTCATGATCGGAGTTGGGGGTTAAACATAAGCTGAATTTGCCATGAACACCTAGGCAATTACCAACTTTATGCATTAATAATGCACTGAACCATAATGAAATAAGTTATTGAACCTTTATTTTAATGTGTGTATGTATGTAGATGAGAAATTAGTTGATTAAGATCATGCATGATTTCATATTTCAAAAGGCTGCAATCACAACCCAGTCATAGAAACGCGAAAAAGGATCTGATACGCGAAGAACCTTTCTTAGGTGTTAATGGTCACAGCATTTACCCACTGAAAAGTGTTAAAGCTCAAAGTTAGTTTAAAGATATCGAAATTCGAATGTTACTTCCACGAGACACTTGCAAAAAAAGCGGAAACAAATAAGCGGGTAAGAGTCGGAAGTTAATTATCACAAAAGGAAGAATCGTCGGATTCATAAAAGTGAGTAGAAAAAAGGGAATTTAGCAAATTTTTACGAAGATTACATGAGAAGATGGCAAAGATTAACTAATGTAATCGCATATCTGTAAACAAAATCTAATCATAAAATGTGCACAAAATCGGGATCCGAACAAAAGTAGAATTTTAGAAAAACGGCTTTAGGTGGCTGCAAGCCATTAGAGGAATGATATTTGGATTGGTATGCGTAACTTATTCCCCTGCATAATTAAACAGAAACTTATCCCATTGTACAAAAAAAATTATCAGGTTCGAAAGTCGGGACATGCAAAATTAAGGAGAGCTTCCTCTTTGGGAAATTTCACGGGTTACATAGGAACTACCAAAAACAGAATATAGCAGCGCGCGAAATACTCCATGGGTACAGATAACTTCAGTTGATAAAAATTCACCTTTGCGGCCTTAATGAAGTTGGCCTTCACACAGCAATGACTGACCGCATTCATCACGACAAGCTGACCAACACCCACCGCACCATAAAGTGTAATTTAAAAAAAGGTGCCGGCTTGCTGCCAAGGTCGAAACTTCCAAATGGGATAGCAAAACTAAATATTTATTGACAAAAATGTAGGGCGCCCAAAACTTAAAAACGCAAGATCTATTGCATTGAATTGGCTGCATGACTCATAAATCCCATCATCAGCACATGCAGTGGACCGCCACTAATAAATTTCATGGGTACGAAAGTGTTTTATTCCGCCTTACTGTTTTAACAAATTATACTTGTTTATTATGGCTTAATAATGTGTAAAAATCACTATAAAAGCATTTTGGCATAATTTACGGTGTTTTTGTTACTTATGCAAACCATTATTTGCTCTTCTGCTATTTTTCGCATAAATGCTTCTGATGATATAATCAAGCATTGGTGTGATTTACTGGGGCCTAATTTTCATCAAATATTTTTAGTACAGTTAAAGCTACAGCCTTCCAAACTCTTGTTTAACTGTACTTTCAACCGCTCGGACCCTTTAGATCCTGCGGATTACACCTGTATTCTGTTATCTCCCTGGCCGTCTTTTGCGTAAACAATGGAGTGTACTCCATGCTCCTACAGACCATCACAACTTCAGCAAAGGGAATCAAGTCGCTGCAAAGCACTAAGTTGAGTGGACTTACTTATTCGAAGCTTTTTGGGATGGAATGTAAGTCTAGGCAAATGTCGGTCAGCCTATGACCATTCATTTGTGGCCGGAACTTTAGCTTTGGAAGGTACTTATATCGCTGTATGAACAAATTCGGGTCGAGGTTGGCATGCGACTGCCCACGATTTGAATTTTAGCCCTTTTTTGTTTTGTCGAGCCATATCAACCCCCGGTTTTTTAAATTCGGCGCTGGAGATGGAGGGCGTGGTTGTTGGAGTGTTGTCGTTTCTGATGCCCGAAGACTGTGTTACCAAATACGTGAAGGATAATGATTTTTTAAACGGTACCTGTTATTCGTCCTTTTAACTTTGTAGTTGATTGCTTTAAAATGCTCGTTAGTAAGTGTTTGGGCTATGGAATTGTTGCGGGCGCAACACTAGGTACTTCTCTCTTTCTAACCTGAGTCTTTTCAGTAAAATTACCTCAAATTATAAAAGTTTTGAAAACAGGTAGTGCCAAGGGACTCAGCATACCGGCAGGACTTTTGGAACTCTTATGTTATACGGCAACAAGTTCTTATTCCTTTTATCGTAAATTCCCTTTCAGGTATACTCCATTTCATATTTGATTATTTTAGTACTTATGGGGATGCAACATTCCTGCTGGTACAATCAGCAATAATTAGTTTTCTGACTATCTCTTGGGAAATATCGTATCTCTACGGGATAACTTTTCTCAGCAGTTACGTTTGCTTTGTTGCATACACTCTGTCGCCTGCGGTCGAACTCTCTTTGCTTACTTTAATGCAGGCGGCAAATACCCCGGTTATTCTATTTTCTCGAGTAACATATTCAGCAATGTTTCACCTAACGATGTATCTTTAGGGGCTACAAATTTACGCAAATTTTCGGAATGGTAGCACTGGTCAACTCTCAGCGATCTCCGTTTGGCTGATGGCTGCTGGTTCGCTTGCTCGTATTTTCACGTCGATTCAAGAGACTGGTGATATGCTTGTCATTTTGAACTTCGTTGTTAGTTCTTTTGTCAACATCGTTCTCTCAGCTCAGATCATCTACTATTGGAACTGTCCTCTTCCAGAAAAAAAAATGGCAGAAAATAAGAAGACTATCTAGGGTAACGGTTGTTTCTTCCCCTCTAACCAGTTCTTGTATTTTGTGGCTGAATTTTTTTGTGTACATTTCTTCAATCATGCTTCACTTCCTGCTATTCGGGCAAAAACCTGGATTAAGGGAGGTTTCTAGGTGCTTGTGCTTAATTAATGGGTTCCGATTATATTGTTTGCTAGTGGATCGTGCGCTTTCCTTTGTGTCCACGCCTTTGGTCCCCTACTTTCGGAACTTCATCTTAAACTCAAATTGATCTCACGTTTTCCTGAGTTTTTGGTGTTTGTCAAAGTGCTTCTTTGGTGTCTATGCACAGAGACAGTAAAATATGTGCAGCCACGGATGGGATGCCTTGTGTCGGCTCTAGTTAGCCATTTGCTGCACTTCCGGCACCTTGATTCGTGGTTCGTCTTGGTCCGCCTTTTCTCGAACGCCTTTGTTTGCTGTCGTAGGCAAGTGCCACAAATAATGGTTACTGTTATCGTTAGTCAGTACGGTGGGCATCGATGTGTCGATGGCCGTTCTGCTTTAGATCTTCGTTCACTCGTGGTTGGGTGTGCGAAAGCTGCCCTAAGCTGAAGAATGCCTTTTGGTTTAAATCAAATACCAATGCTTTTTTCACTTCGGTGGTCTATAAACAGTAGATGGGAAAAGTGTCGGAGACCTTTGCTTCCAGTGCTCCACTTCCCCACATTTATTTAAAAAGAAGGCGTCACTTCTAATGGGGACTGGGGGTATATGTATAGCAATAAAAAGATTATTTGAATCTAGCATGGCAGGTGGGTCATTTTCACTACCACCACATTGGTCCACGGACAAGGAATCTTTTCTCTGCTTTCAAATGCGCCTTCATCTCGGCTAGTTCCGCGATATCGCATTAAGTGTGCATTTCTTCGGCTACTTAAGTGAACAACGGCAAGTCGTTCATCAATCATTAGGGCTGCCATTATCGGAGTCTAAGGATCTTGAGTAATGGCGGCCAATGCCCTGAGGGTGGACCAAGTACCAGAGCGGTACACATCATATTCAGCCTCTCCCTCGAATTCCTTCCTTTCAACTCCCTTCTTGGGTCGCATCTATGTGCGTGCGCGCGTGTGTTTGCCTCAAAAGTGCCTACAAATCTCGTAATTACTTATTCGCCATCCGCCGCCGTTGCTGATGGTATCTCCCTTTTGGCATTCTCAAGACGCGTGTTTATTGCAATCGCAAGAAGGCATTGCGAATCCATTGGTGCTATCTCTCCCTTCTAATCGATTATGGTAATAGGACTATGGCTTCCAAAGCAAATAAAAGACGTTTATTACAAGTATCTGATTTGAGTAGAATTAGTAGCTATTCTCCTCTGAATGTATTTTTCAGCCATTTATTCAATTAAGTGTTATGGACAAGTGGAACTTCTGTATGCTTATTCTTGGGATTGGAGTGGAAACGCTCCCAAAAACCCGTGTCATTGTCTCAGTTTTATCTAAAGCATTACCATCCGTCGTGGATAAGGTTCTAATCCCTATAATTTAGTCAATTTGTCACCTATTAATTCAAATGTGAGTGGATTAGTCAGAATGGGATGAACATATTTTATTCACCTTGAATTGCGAGTAGTAAGCATTTCCAGTTTTGTCTCATCTACAAAGTCCTGGAAAAGACTAAACATCAAGCAAAAGTACCCACCGCTAATGTGAATGAATCGATGGCCAAAAACCTAACCTTGGTGCGTGTATTTTGGTAGTGGGCTGGGCAGTGTTGTTTCATTCTCGTCAAACAACGTTCGCAGGAGCCTTGGATTTCGATATCAAAGGAAATATTTCTCAAATGAATACTTTCCGTTTTTTATTAATTTGAGGTTTTTTATCAGGGGGGAACCTGATTTGCACGTTGGGCAACTGGATGGGGGGAGAGGAGTGGCGAAACGCATTGTTGCCCCCAAACAAAAGGCGATCAAACAGGCGGAACACAGCTTCCAAATTGAGGATCACCACAGCTGCAAATGTTGCACTTTTCGTGTGCCGAACGTGCCTTCTTAAGTAATGCACCGATGCTTTTCTCTGTCTGCCTCGTATTCCTCCAGTAGTTTTTAAATCAAATCACCCTTCCTGGCAGCTAGCGATCTTTTTAAATTATTTTTTCCGCAAGCAACTTCTGTATTATTAAGAAAATTTCCCTCAATCTACACTTTTCAAACTTGTGTTTCAAATGTGAGTAGATCCATTCCAAAAACACGCTCATAAAAGTGCCAACCTAACTTATGAGTGGTAGAGCAGCAAAAGCACAATTGAGCATCCCCCATCAATCAGTATCGACACGGTTACTTCAGTAGCTGGTGGTGGAATCTTTACCTCAATTGAACTCGAGGCGACTAAGAGAACGAAACCATGTACATAAACACATTCATGGTGTCTTGCCTCCGAAGTTTATCATCACGCCAAAGACATTCCAGTAGGAATATCTTTAAAGAGTATATTTAGCCAAAAACAGGACTTTTATACAAGTCAAAGGGAATTTATAAATTACCGAAGCAGATGATGGTGTTTTCTCCCGCCTGTGTACTCGCATCCAGATTCCTTAGTTGAAAAATGTTTGCATCTCGACCAGCATCTGGAAGTTGAACGCTTCCAACATTTTTTTGTAGGCGATTTTTCCAGGCTATATTTTTGGGCATTTGAAGCACTTTACGAAAGACATTTGTAGGCAAACAAATTTGTCCTAGTGTAGTTTTACACATAATCCTATTCGCGTGAAATTTGAAAGTTGGGTGGGAGGCCAACGGGGGAGACAAGCATGGTCCACACAACAGCTAAGGACGTGGTAAACGTGGTCCCTGTTATTTTTAGACTTTAAATTCCATAAATTTAAATGTTAGAGTCCGCAATCCCTTCTCAAAGTGATTCAAGTATCCCGCCTTCTAAATTTATTCTTTTAAATCAGTGCAAATCCTGTGTCCACTTTCCTAGTGATAAGGACTTTGGCAGTGGTGAAATTTCGTTAGTATTTCTTGTTGTTAACCAAGTAATGTCGTCTTTTTTCACAAGTTTTATGAAAACACCCATTACTCACTGTTTAATCTGCAAGACATTAGGATGCATTAACAATACCCGCCCAACAGACATGAACACAAAAGTACGACAACTTTGCATCACATTAGGACTGACGCATGGAAAAGAGAAATGGACGTTAACGTTAGGCATAAATGGCTTACGTAATTTACTGTTAAACTACAGAGGTGTTTGTGAAGAAGGACTGTACACATCCCTCTTATTTAGACGGGAGTAGATTCCCAAGTCGGGGCCTTTAAGTTACTGTTTTTTATTTGTGTTGGAATGAAATCTAAGGCATTTGATCTCTACCACTACTACAAAATATCATATACTGACATTTTGAAAATTATAGGACAATAGCTTTTAAGTTTGAGTGCCCATTTATGAATGGAAAATTTTATAGAGGTATTTTTTATGCCAGAATGGGAGTTCATAGACTCGATGGAAATATTGAATTAAATTTGCAGAGCTGGTTACAGACTGCCATCCACAGCCTTTATGAAAAAGGGATCGAAGAAGTGTCTTGTGGGAGAATGTTAAGGCAAATCATCAATTGTTTAACTGATTTCCTCATTATTATTTCAAATACCATCCTTAGGGAAATATAATGGACTAATCTCTAAGTCATTGTGTTCACTAATTAATCAAAGATGTAAGGTGCATTGAGCCAATTAATTTTAAAGAGTGAACGCAGAGGCTAAATGTACACTTTTATGGATAGATTAATAAGCCTCATAATTTCGGTGTTGGAGATACTTCGTTAAATGTAGATTTGCACTACCTAATTGCTGTCAGCAGTGAATCAAAACTATGAACATAACGAAGTATCATTTCAGTAAATATCTCCAGGATCTACAGGTTGTTATTGTCCATAATTTGAGGCACTTCTTTACGTTCCCTCTTCGAATAATCGTGCTTATAAACCAAAGTGCTTCCATCAAGGAATTATGTTCGTAGCTGGAATTATCCGTTTTGATGCACTTTGAGCATGACCACACAAAACGTGTAGTTTATTTATTCTTAACACCTTTTAAATGAGCTTCTTTAAATATAAACATCACGAACATGTTATTACCTCCGTCCCCAACATATTTATAATAAGAATTCATCTCTCCTTCATTGTATATCTTCCTTCGTCGTGAGAATAAGCGCATTTATAGGGCTGTCAGTCGTTTCCAAAGTCCAACGCTACCTCGTTCCACTTCACATTCTCTTCACCTCATCCCTTATCTATACCACTTCTAGTGGCATTGAAAAGATGCCGCGATAAGATGTACGTGCAAGTTCCCACCAATTCAGCATGCATTTAGTTAACTGGCTATCAGAGCAATTAGCAATGCATTTAGGGGCTCCCATAAACACTTTTTAATGTAGTAATGTTTAAGCATCTACATTTGTATATTGGCTTTACAATTTACTATGATTCTTTACCATCTTCTAAATCAACAGCTTGTTAAAATAATTTTCTTATTTTTACCCGTAAAGCGTCGACAAAGATGCACTTGGATTTTAAATTGACTGTACTTCAAGTCGCTACGAGCAATGCTAGGATTATTTGTTTACGCGATATTAGTTATCAAGGTACGTAATTCTCACCCACCACATGGGCAGACAGCGATGCTTTCTCAAGTGGGAGCAGATCGTGTGCTTGAATGAACAACCTTCTGACAACTCGGACAATGTGTCCTCACCTATCACGATAAAATATGCAGTGGATGATGTTAATGGCGAGTCTCTGAGAGTCTCGATTTTTCGCAGCACAGAAGACAGAAAAACTACGGTGAAACAAATGTGCTCACCTAGCAAGTTTTCTTGCTCCTTATAAAGTACTACTAAATGTGTATGTGCTTTGCAGAGTGTACATAAATTTGTGTGACAGTGAAGATTATACAGTACACTATTCATTCAGTATATTTCCTGATGCTAGTCACCTATTGAATTGTGTATTCAAGTGGGAATCCTAAAATGGCATTTGTTAACCATCCCTATTTTAGCCCCTATTTAGTGGTCGGAACATTGCCATTTAAAAACCACTTATTCAATAATGTAATGAGGAATTATTAATTCATCTTTATGTTTTTGTTTTGTCATCAACTCCAAGTGAAAACTACTTCACTTCCCGATGAGAAGGTGCCCTTTTGAGACTAGATCTTTCACTATACAGTTCTTTGTTTTTCAAAAAATTGTATGTAGTAATGGCAATTACAATAACCATAATTACGCACATCACAGAAACAGGAGCTGATGTACACATATCCCCAACCGGTTGATACACGGGGCTGGGAGGTTGTAGCTGTTTGAGGGTTACGGGAATCATTCGTGTGCGACGTGAGCCGACATTCACGATGGAAAGACAAACTGTGGCGAGGTGGTGTTTCTGCAGAAACCCTGTCTATCCAATTTTGGAGGACGAAGAGGGATGAGAATCGTCACCTTCAGCCTTCAGTTGAGGCAGTCCGGCCATAGCAGTGAAGGCTGCGTAGATTGGATTAGCATGAGGACACGACCTCTCGTCAGTGAGTGGTGCGAAAGATCTAGCGCTAGTTTGCGCGACTATGTGACGCTGTTGTTGTCGCTGATGGTGAAGCTTCTGCTCATTTCCAGAAGAAGTTGATGAAGGTGTTGAAAAGCTTGATAGTGCCTCGGGTTCCTGGCTGCCTCCTTGGTTACCCAATACACGATTGCTCTCTCGCAGGCCGATCATGCCACCAAATCCATTAAAGTATGCGGATAGGTAAGAGAGGGAGGAGGGATCCTTCGAATCGCTTAGCCTATGGTGCTGAAAGTCTGTCTCTTGTTCTAATTTTCGGGCCTCTTTTAGAGCCCTTGCCCACTGGATAGAGCCTGAGTCCCAGGTGTTTCCTTCAGCTGTTGGTAACGATTTTTCCTTCCACCAACCTTCCCAGTAATTAGAGGATGGTTCACTAGATCCGCAATAGGCTAGCCTAGAGGCCGCGTAATTCGCTGCAGCTACAGCTGCCATAACTGCTGTCTTTGAATCTAACTCTGGAGTCATTGTATCTGTTTTAGCATCCTGATCCGTGGTATTGGAGTAGGGAGGATAGTTGCTGATACGACCACTGACGTGTAATGACGACTTGGAAAAATCATACTGTCCATGAGATGTTTCAAAATCCTTATTATTTGATGTGTTTGAGCTGGGGTATCCGGGATTATTAATGTATCGGATATCTTCATAGGGTTGCCTACTTCGATTAAATTCAGAAAAATTTTCTTCATAGGGGCTTGGGTGGAAATGATGATGCTGTTGCTGTTGTTGATGATGCTTTTGTTGCAGCTGTTGAGGCTGATTAAATGCATTGTAGGTATAAGGAGTATTGGTGTGAACGGGTCTATATTCCGCAGCCGAGGGCACCGCTAAATGTCGCAGTCCGAAAAAGCCTCCTTCCATGGGTGCATTAAAGTTCCCGACGGTGGTACTCGAAAAGAGGCTGCTCACAGTGGCTGCAGCAGCCATCGCTGCCACAGCCTTCTTCTGCTTCTCCAGCGGGCGATGTCGCCTTCTAGGTCGATACTTGTAGTCAGGGTACTGGCTCATGTGATTTTCTCTTAGTCTCTTCGCCTCATCAACGAATGGTTTTTTCTCTGCCTCATTTAGTGCCTTCCACATCGTTCCCAGACGCTTACTGATCTCAGAGTTGTGCATTTTGGGGTTCTCTTGCGCCATGCGCCGTCTCTGACCCCGCGACCACACCATGAAGGCATTCATCGGCCGCTTCACACGCTCCTCCTTCTTCGTTGGATTGCTGCTCCTGGAGGGTACCTCAGAGGCACCAGAAGGTTGAGTTGACACGTTGCTGAAGCTTCCATTTTGTGTTGGATATGTGACCGTCTTTTCCAATTCAGACTTGGATGATGACACCTGTGGAATTAAAATCAAACTTCGATTTAAAAAACCAGTGTTTTCACACCTTTTTGATTTTGTTTTTTAAGTAGTTTAGATGGCAGTCATGTGTGCTAGACCAAGATTTCGAGTAAGTATTTTAAGAACTTATCAGGCTGGAGCGTTGATGAGACTGGTGGGATGGCCCTATTGCGCAGTTTACGGGAGGACGTGCACATCAGATAAGACGAATGGCTGGGCAACTGACAATGCGCCCCAACCGTCTCATTGCTTATCTCCCCTGTCACAGTATCATCTTTCCAACTCTCTCGTGCGGTTAAGGAATAATTCATTCTTCACGAGCAGGCAAAATAAACCGATTTTATGGCACATTTTAAATTATTCGTTAATTGAAAGACTATTACTAATCGAAGTAATGCCTTCTATGGCAATAAAATTTGCAATCCCAACTCGATGCTAAGTTTTTTGACTGCTCTTAATTTTGGCTATTTGGAATAGTTTTTCTCCTAAGCATCCGACCTGTAAAGTTGTTTCAACCACTGTAAGACGCGTGGCATCACCTCTGATGAAGACTTAGGTCTCTTTTATGAGCTTACCAATATTCCATTTGGAATTTAGTTAATGACACTCTAAAATTCGCGTTTACAACTAAATAGCTACTGTCTACAACTATCTATTTTACAAAGACACCATGGAAGCTGCTTTCGTTGCTTTAGAAATGTATCCCCAAAAGGCAATCGATTTCAAAAGGTTATGTATAATTAAACCTTTTCCGTGAATAATAAATAGGCTCCAAAAGAGAAGTTTATTCGCCTAATTTGTAATACGTAGTAATGAAACCGAGCCAGCAGATAGTGAATCAATGGTTCACTTGCCTATTATTTTAGTTGATGCATGTAAACACCAAAAGTTTTAAAAGTGATTTCATTATCTTTCGGCATTTACACATACTGTTTGAGTAAAAAACTTCGACAATTGGCTTCCTTTTACAGATTCATTTAATGAAAAATGTGACTGTGTTTAGTTCGAAACAATTTAGAAATTAGCATTGTTAAATATGTTCCATTTTTCATAACTATTCGAGATTCGCACTAGTGGAATTGCCTGTTGTAAATTGTGGAGCTATAAAAAACCTTAACCTAAGTTATCTCAGTTTTTTAACACTTTAATTTTCCCCTAGTTCCAACGTGTCTCCGGAGCCCATTGTTTGAAGAATGCACTTAAATGAATACCATTTTCGTGGTCTACACATCTAGTGAACTTTTCTTCAGACCTAAAACGCAAACATGATTTAATATTTTCACTAAAAGAGTGAAAACATCATATTCGAACCCTAGGGTGCTTTTTTCTAGCACACTGAAAGGTTTTAAGGGTTCAGTGGTACCAACTTTTAGTTGATAAAAATGAAATCTGATTAAAAAACCGTAAATGCTTTTAACCCCGGAGAATATGAAATCGCCTCCATTTTGTCGTTGCCCTCTCTGTTCATTTACTTATTCATTATATCATTCCATTCGTCATGATTGCTTAAAACTGTACACATCCTCGTTACCATCATCAAAGGCGTTTAAATGTCTACGCAATTGTTACTGCAGGAAATTTAATAGCTCCCACTTCATGTACCTTTACTCTAAATTGGAAATTAGTAGTAAAATTGCTTTTGTAAGAAAGTAACCAATAATTGACTTGGACTTAAAAGAATGGCTAAATTAGTAGTTGTTAAAATGTGGTAATTTTTGAATAGTAGGCTATTTTAGCTTAATAAAAACCTGACTTAAGTCTGGATAGCAACTTAGCTATGTTCATAGGATCTTGGAATAAAGGATTGTTCCGAGCGCAAAATTCGCTGCAGTTAAACGAGCACAATAGAAGACACTTAGAACTAAAAATCTCTCACAGTGGATTTGTTTTCCATTTAGCGTCTACGCCCATTAGACTGGGGCAGAAGTGTGAAAAACAATTCCGAACATCACGTTAACTCAGCACCCTTTCCTACCTCAATTCGCTTAATGCTGTCAATCACCGTTTCACAATGGCCGCCTTTGGGTTTGTAGGCAGAGATGCAAAGGACAACGCTGCTTCCGAAAATTAATAGCGTAAATTTTAATAATGAAATCATGATTTGCCTGAGTTTGCAATGCACCGCCAACAGCGAGCATCACACCTGAGTGTTAGTAATTTTAACCTCTCTGTGAAGTAAAGATGTGCTCCTTATAGTGAAGGAATGCCCTGCGTTATTCCAGTTCAGCAACATCAGAGGCAGTGGTTCATGAAGTGGGCCAACTTTATTTATCCGTATTTGGAATGCCCATTTTCATTTGCGTCAGGTGGATAAGGGCCAACACCGTCACAATATCTCATTTTCGATACAGTTATTTAGCAATGAGATTATATTAGAGACGGTCGCTGGTAGGGTTTGCAATTACTTTCAGCCCATTTACATGCGACTTCATCTATATCGTTTATTCACTTCATCCGATTCGTCACTCCCGTGCTACATATGAGGCGACATTGTTTGATTAAATGTCCGTGGGGTGGAAGCCAAATGGCCAGCAAGCAAATTATGTCCCTTTCCTCAACTCATAACTACGCACTTCCAGTCTCAGTTGGCTTGTCTTTTTGCTGTTCTAGTCTGTTCAGCAGATTTCGACATTCCTCTCAGAGCCGGTTAAATGTTTTTCTTTTGGTGGTCATCATATTCTTCTCGCTATAGTTCGGGTGCTACACCGTTTCGACTAAAAGTCATTTGCGTGTGCGAGTAAGTAACTTAAAGCGGCGATAAACAAAACCAAACACCATAGTTTTCTTCCTTACTTTTAGCGAATCGAAGACACCCCGAAAGCTCTAAGTCAATGAATATAATTTGGAAAAAGAGTCCACATCACCAGATGACTTTACCAAATTTTTTACTCGTTATAATACTAGATTTACAAACACTTCCTTCTTCGTGTTTTTGGACGGAAGAGCTAAACCCGGTTTTTACCAAACAATGTCTTTTTACTAAAAAATTTCAACACATGGTTAATTAAGGACTCTCAAAAAACGTGCCGCGTTTTTCCAAGGACTTATAAATGAAACGGTATAACTAGATTCAGCACGAAAAGTTTTTGGTGGGCAAACCGAATCTTACCCTTAGCCTAATTTTCTACGAATTCTGGAACACAAAGTGCATTTGGTTCAAAGGGATGCATCATGTCACTACAGCTTGCTTAAAATTTCAGTAAAAATGGATCCTTTATTAGTTCCCTTGGGAACTTTCTAGTAAATAAACGTTTTGTATTCTGAGTTGCTATGGTAAGAACTAAGTCGCGGCCCTGAAGTCTATTGTAGATGAGGATCTAAGAGCCTCGCCATCGTTTAAGTGAGCTTTTGAAATGTCAGAAGGTGCTTCATAAGGGTTCGGATCCCTGACGGTCAGTTCGAGGTGCACCATTAAAATAAGACACCCGAATAGGAGGGGGAAATGATGCAAAAAAGTTCTTTGAAGTGACAGAAGATAGTGAAATGAAACGGAAAACGTATGCCTGATTGAAAAGTACATCATCTTTAAAAATTTATAAATCACTAATTTCCAAAAACGTCTAACGACATATTTCAGAGAATTACTGTTTGGATTGTGGTCTCAAACTGTAAAATGCAGTAATCCCTTTTTAACTATCGACTTTGCTTGCATTTGCTAACCAACTGTGTCCAATTACAAATTCGTCCAAGATAATCTTAATGACACACCATAGCATGCAATTCTATCAAACACCTTAAAATCTACCAATTTGTGCAAATTTATCTGATTTCGTAATTTGCAGATTTTTTGCAATGAACTTACTCTGCTTGGCTTAGCAGACAATCCATACACTGTCTTTGGATGTGTCTCTATCTCCATGGCGTAATGGTGCGCTCCTTGTGAATCTCCTCCCACTGTCGAGCCTGTGTATGTAGTCGTGCAGGGCTTGTAGCGATCCTGCGAAAAAGTATTCTGACCGTAGATGGAGACAGGGCCGTGTTCGGCGAGTTCCCCAGAGCAAGACCCACCACTAAGGGACCCGCCTTCCTCCTCCTCCTCCTCCTCCTCCTCCTCCTCCTCCTCTACCTCCTCCTCGCATTCAGAGGGTGTCACCATGTTCACCATTGGAGTAGCGTTCGAACCAATTGACTTGGGACTGTATAGATTTTCCTGGACACTTGGTATCACCTCCTTCCAATCACTTTGATAACTTGGGAACTTGATTGGTGTCGAGAGACCCTCCTCGTAGAAGCCTGATCTAAGAGCTTCACAACTCCAACTAGATGTGTATTCTTCGTTTGAAGGTTGTTTTGTGTAGGTGGGTTGATCATATGTTACGGGATTGGGATAGATCCTATTGTCTGTGACTCGAGATGATGTGAAATCTGGCGTTTCGCCATAATAGGAGATGTTAGAGGGTGTTGTAATAAAGTTGGGCTGAAAGGGGCTACTTGAAGTGTTTGAGTTTAAGTAGTCTAGCGACATTATCTTCTCCGTGGCCATTGGGAACATTAACTATGTCGTCTTAGGGCAAGGGCTGATGTTTGAGTGAGCCTGCTATTCGCCTCTTATGCTTATTGGTGCCTATTAGCCAATTGTGAAGCAACGGCAAGCCTTCCGCAAATCGTTCCACGCCGATTGGTGCGTGCCAGGGATGAGCGTCTGACGTACACGCATGTGCTTCTCCATGTGCAAAGGTAGTGGTTGCTTTCCGCCCAACGGGGTTTGGGGCTTCTTTATCGATTCCTCGCCTTTTATTATGCCCAAAAATACTTGGGTGTAAAGGAACATCTTATGATTCAGTGGCAGCTTCCCTTGTAATTATTAAGGTATGAAACGAATTAGTTGATTATAAAATATCATATTTAGTCTTAAAACAACCTAAAGTCGTTGGTGAATTCAATAAGTGAGAGGTTTTGTTAGCAACCTAATAAAAAGTCTGAAGGATAAAAGCCTCTCAACATGTTCGTTTCATCACCTTTTTCTTATAATTGGTGTGTTTATCAAAATTTCTTGTTAGCGTAGGTCCAACTGCTAAATTGGTATTCAGTGTTTCATGACTTAACTATGGAGGAGGCAACGAATAGTTCAACGTTAGATTTCTTCCTCTTCTTAATTCTCACTTATGTAGCAATACAATAATCAAAGTCATCAATGGACCCTTTTACCGAAAAGCGGTTTTGTTCACCTTTAGCGAGTGCAAACACCATGATAATTTTTCTTGCGTACTTTATTAGTTCACATAAAAAGTAAGCGTTTTAAACATTCATAAGGCCTAATTTTTTTGGCCATAGTTTTGTACCTTAATTTGAGTGTGTCCTCATTACTCTAGGTCCAAAAATGTAGCATAGATAACGCGAATGTCCTAATACACTTCTATGAACAAATTCGACTTGCATACTCATGCTAATAGTGACAGCTTTTGTCATTTATTCTCAAACAGGTAGCTTCTTTAGTTAATTGAGAACTTCGAGAATAGACCCCTGTATTCACCAATAATAAGAGGAACTGTTAGAACGCCGCACATGCGGGTGGGCCACGAGCGAGAATAGGACATAGTAGTGTGTAATGCCTAGTTGCTATGGCTAGAATCAGGCGACGGTAGCTACTCTGGCCCGACAGCCCCTTCACTTTAGCAACAGATGCGCACGTGTGCTACCTGAGTGAGGGAAGAGGGTGATCCAGGTGGGCCGCAGCTGATACCTCCTCCACCATCACCAAAACTGCTGCCACTACTTCACCTGCCGTTGAAATGTGGGTTTCGTGAGTAAGCCTGTATGAATCCACTTTGACCTCCACACCCGTATACGGTGCCATTGTACTGCATACAAGGATACCTTTGTCTTGGAAGCTTTAGCATTTGATGACTATTTATCCTTCTTTACTCTGTCGTTTTCTACCTCTTTGGGTACTCTCTTTAATCCTTTCCCGGGCTGCAAATGAAAATAATTTCACTTGCCAAAATTTCACTTTTCTAAACCGACAATGTTAATAAATACTTACTCGTGAAGGCACACATATGCTCTCGTTCTGTATGGAATCTCTGCTCTTGAAGTCCATATTTATTAATCTCCACGGTAGCTAAATTAGCGGCGTGCAGTATTATCGAGGTCACACTAGAATATACTCCTCTCTCATTTTGCAAAAACTTTTTCTAAATATGACACGAAATACCTAAGCTTTTATAAATGCTTTAGGAACAATATCTATTGACTCGCCTTACACCATTTTATTAACACTTTCTTCAAAAAAAAGAATAATCTTAAGAATTTTATTAGATCATACAACATCTCTTGGACATTCTCCTACACAGTTCTGTCTGTGCGTTTACTATCGGCATTATTATCAGGGCTATGTTTAGTGGCTAGATTTTCTCATCTTCAGCGTCAAAGTTGAGTTTTACCCATCAATCAAACCTGCATTTCGTTTCCGAACAACAATTTTCCATAAAATAATTTTGTTCACCAGTTACTCGTGGTGAACTTTTCTCCAATTAACTTCAAGGTCATCTGGAAGTTTAGTTGCTTCCCTCATCCCGTTACACAAACAAAGCTCATTTCTTAATTTCCCTTTGCTTTGTTAAAATTTCTTTCTACTGGTATAAGTATCACTTAGAAGAATTGTTAATTTTGATGCGGTTACTCGCCTTTGGATTTGGGTGTGATTGTGAAGATTGTTTGCATCCTATGTGCCGTGTTAAAAGTGGATTTTAAGATAAAGCCTTTTTCTTCCAACTTTTCTTAATGCTCAGACATTTCAGATGTTTAAGCATCAGTTGCCGGCTGACTTAATTAAAACATCTTCATGTTTGACACGCATGAACCACCGTAGCAATATTGTTAGCTTTAAACTCAAAACGGGAATTTAAACTTTTCAGGGAGATTAACATGAATTGAAAACAAACGCCGTGACTAGGGGAGAAAAACAATATTTGCTCTCCACCCCGCACACATACATACACACATGATGCTCTCTCTCCCCCACCCTCTCTATAGTTGTCTGCGTGTGTGTGTGTGCATGCATGGTGAGATGCAATGAAAGTGATATGTCCAACATTGCCCCAAACAAGCACACACACACGCACGAGGTTGAGGGGAGGCGTGGCTGAGGGGGAGGGTGCGTGTGTATGTGGGAAAAATCTCTTTTGTCTATTCCAGGTACGCGTGCACGGCGGAGAAGTTTGGCATATCAGATAAATTTTCTCCCCTTTCTCTGTGCTCGGTCTGCCACGCACTGTCACGGTGGGGTGATGGGTATTCAGGAGTTGAATTTTGCCTATCCTTTGTATGAGCATCCCCCTTGACTGACGAAGCGCGGTCGGGTAATGAAGTTTACTGGCACTTGGAGGCCCTACACTCATGTAGGTTATTACAACCCAAACTCCAATCTTTTCCCCTCTCTCTCTCCCTCCGCCAGTGGAACGTTCCTCATAAATCGTTCTACCAAGCCCCTTTGCTCCCAACTTCTTCGGTGTTGTTTTATTTCCTTAACTAGTCGTAGGCAAATGATGCATTCGCAAACGTATGCAATTGTATGCAAAACTCATTTTTAACAAATGGTAATCAGTATATGGTCATTGTCAACCAGCCTGTCATTTGTGCCAATTACGGTAAGTAGTATAATCTCCGTTAGTGGAGGTTGCTAATATGTACATTTTACACCGTAAGGAGTTCTGCATAGATACGTAGAGTAATTTAAAGTAAACCAAGCTATTCTAAGGTTTTAACAAAGACCACCAATGGCACCACTATAAATCGGATTTTCTCGAAATTAAAATGATCTTAAGTCCATCAAGTTTTCGCACAAATCCTAGCAAGCAGATGGGAAAGGCATATTTCGACGGCGGTCATTTCACAATCTTGAGCATTATGACGGAGATTTCGTTCACTCCGAGAGCCAATAAGAAGTTGGCTATTTATTGTTAAGATTGTTAGATGGCATTGGTGACCGATTTTTAACTTTTCCCTAAGGGTTACCTATTTATACCTAAAGAGTGGATTTTGGTAGATTTTATTCTACCCTCTTAACATTGCTCATCAAAACATCTTGAACATGATAACATTTTAAAGGTCTAAATGCATTTCTGCAGAAGTACTAATGACAATTACGGAAAAATGACTTAATGTGAATATTTCTTATGACTCTTTTTGAGTTAAAAATCAAATTAAGGACACATCAGAAATGCCAATATGGTTCTCATCTATCTACTTATGCAGCGTACTAATTTTTATGGCCAATTCTTGATAATTGTGGTGTTTAAAGGGCCGGAGATGCTTCATTTATACTGAATGCACGTGAAACAGCGCCACTTGATACAAAACTGGCAATACACCCGAACGCAATGGATCCTCAGACCTAAGAAAGTCAGCACCGGTAGAGCACCTTTATTTCACAACACAACCCCTTTTTGTAATTTTACACTATGGTTTCAAAATTCCGGTGATTTTGTACTAAGCTAAACAGATGTAAAAGCTCTATTTTACATGCATGACTGCAGTAAAATAACTGTGCCTTCCTGCCACGTTGATAAGTTATCTTCACTCCGAGTCCCTTTCAAACTTCGCTGAAATTATTGCAAGCACCTTTTTGAAAAATTGACATCAACTTCGGTGGGGGTGCCGCTCACTACAAGGGGACTACTCCAAGGAATAGTAACAAATCCGTTCAAACACCTGTCCCCTACTGCCATTTATCGACAGTGGCGGCCCCAACTTCACACTTAGCTCCACCTAAAACCCTGGCATTGGTGCTGTAAAAAAGTGAAATAGTTCTCACTCGTCTCTTACTGACACGTCGGCACAGTTGAAAATGGCCTGGTAAACCCGTAGTCCGTAAAGCAGTACTGGCGATGGTTGCGCCAAAAGCGAAACCCATGTCACAAAACCGGAGCGGTTTGGATAAAATGGAAATCAAGCTTAATATAATGGTTAAAATAAGGTATCTAAATATTTCGTATGTTCGGAACTATTGTGTCGTAAATTGTTTACTAATTATCTAGTTCTCCCAATTTTGTTCCGTTGTTGCGTCATTAATAAAAAGCCCAAACCTCCTCTTAGAAATCAGGCAAAAAGGAGAGCGCGGCGAGCTCGTCAAAGATACGTGAATTTTGCACCCACCCACCTACCTGACCCGGATTAGTCACCATCTGATGAGATGAGACAGACCAGCCTAACGAACACAAAAGGGGAAACAGTGACAGAAAGCGAACGACAGATTTAATGAAAATAAGATTGAAATGTTAATTAGAAGATGAGTGAGAATGGTGTCGCCCACATCAACTATGCTCCATGTGTCTAGGTGCCCTCACAACACCTTTTTATTTGTAATATTGGGAGCATTAAAAAATTCCATAAAAATCTCTCATGATTCGCATTAAACGCGAGATGACGGCCTATATTATTCATTGTGCTTCAGTAGCATTGTTTTGATGGCTTGGCGACTTAAAAATGAACATCACACTCAACCAAATGCTTGCTATGAAACAGGTCGAAGACAGTTATCGTCGGATCCGTTTAGTGTCCGAGTGCCAGTAATAAGGCTCAGACCAACTAAAGTAGTCTCCAAGACACAATCAGTTGGCTTTTTTCGATCTCTATGCTTTCAGTAGATCATCTGTTCATCACGGCAGTTACACTTTTTATAATAAACTCCTTATGATCAGTACTCCGGTCTTATAACGGACCGAGGTTGGCTATCATTGTCGTATGCAAATCAAGTAAAAGTTCTTTTGGCTGTTTATTTCATGTCGCCAGATGGCTGTTGAGTTACTTACATCTGCTTTCATTCCAGTCGAAAGTACTTAAGTCGGGAAAATAATGAGGATGGTTTGAAATAAAGACTGTGTGGATAAATTGTTAGTGGTCCCATCGAAGGCACAAATAGCTTCAAACGCAACTAGTCCTTTGGTCATCAAAAGGGTACGATGACTAGCAGCAAGTGCAAGATCTTATCGTTTAGCCTCGTCATGCCACTGAGCTGGCCCGTCATAACCCAGAATATCGCCTCATTCTTTCGTGAATACGAATTATCAGTTGTTAAGAGTTGGCACAGGACTGTCCCCTCAAGTATCCTTGATTTGCTGCTTAGGCTAGGATCTTTCTCAGTGCTTTCGATTGCTTATCCACTAACTGCTCCATCTGCTTATCTTAAATATGTAAGGACGAATCTTTCATATCGCCCTTATCCGTTCGACTATGCTGTAAAACATAAGAATGTCTTAAGTTTAGCTGATATTGTGCATCAATGTTTAAAAATGGCCTATAATTTCGAGAATCCTGGAATTTTGCCTGCGTAAGCCATGCTCCTAGTGGAATACGCTAACAAGCTTTCGCTTTAAAGGAACCTTACCCTCTTGTTAAAGGCCACAACTTGAATGCTAACATTAGGTGGTGGATGGGAGCAAATTTTTATGCAGCTCTACATAATCATACACTTAAAGCCAAAAATTAGAGTTATTTTATTTCAAGGTATTAATTAGGCTACCGTTGATATTCAAGGATCAACTTTGGTATTTAGCCGCTTTTTTTATTTTAAATAAGAAGATAAGCACATATCTCGATAAACGATTCAATGAAACCAAGATACTTCTTCAATAGTTGTTCTCATGGTGTTCAGTTCTAAAAGAGTGAGTGTCATTGCATTGCAATCAAGCTCTTTTGCTTTTGGATTGGTAAGTGTTACCGTTTAATGCTTCAAGACAGGCACGAAACGCTTGTTTAGCAACAGAAGACAGCAAATAGAGAAGTGCATCGTAATTGGTTTACCAATCCTGGTGCCCTAAACGTACGCAGCAATAGGGCTATTTCGATAGTGGCTTCCATGCGGGCCAGGGTTGTTTGCCATGACGATACGGCCTTAACAGTCTTCGGTGAACCATCTATGCAGCTGCGTGAATTATGAGCGCTCCTGTTTCTACCCTCCAACTACCCCACTCCATCTCAAGCCCTCCCCTCTAAGCACATCACCGTTTGGACCGGAGTAGCGGCAGTGGTGATGATGCAGAAAGGAGGAGGGAAAAAAATAAGCGCGCTCTGGTTGCCAAAGCTCACATCTGCGTTGTGCGCGAGGAAATGGGCTTTGTCTGAAGGGAAGAGTGGGTTTAATAGCCACCGTCTGACATAACACACGTCTTAGCCAGGAGCGACACGGCCACTTTGCCTATTTGGCGTAAGTGGTCTATCAAATGCCACTCACATTGGCGTTCCTCCTGTAATGCTTGTTTTAGAGAACTGAAGGTTATTTTAAACAACCGAATGTACAATCATTTACCACCATTTAGTCTAAAGGCGACTTTAATGAAAATCATCCTCTTCTGAAACATGTAACGTTACAGTTTCGTCGTGTTATTAATTTGCCTGGGTAAAAAGAATAAAAATGTAGGGAGTTTTCGATGATAAATTTTAGTACATCCAAGATATTTTATTAGTTATGGAGAACTATACACTCATGGTCGATACTCCTTGTGTGCCACACTTTCCCCTTAAATTTTAAGATGAAAGGTTCTCATATTAATAAATCGCATAATTCGCTACAAGTTAGTTTCTTTAAATGGCTATACATTTCCACCTACACATTTAATTTTTGCTCCTCCCATCAAAATTTTACCCATATCATTTTCAGATTTATATTTGACAGGAAATGAATTTTGGTCTAATTTCATCGCAATTAACATATTCACCGAATTAAAAGCCAAGGTTTTTAGGTAAATCATCGTCCTCACTACTGGAACCGGGCGAATTGGTTAATGAATAGTAAAGTGGTATACAACATCTCATTGAATTCAAATATAGGTTGCAAAATTAATACATTTAGACATTTTGGAATTTGCGATTCAAAAAAGTTCCAGTGAGGAAAAATTATGTGCGGGTTAAAATTTTACCTGAACGGAGGATGGTGACTTTCTCAATCAAGTGATAGGAGTCAAATAACTGAGAATACTCATAGAGGACTTTCTTATCTTCCTCTCTTATTTATCATAAAAATTAATGAATTCAATGAATTACGTCACAGCAACCACCTACTCTCCCTATGTATCCTATGGCTCTAGACAGGGTTAAGTAAAAGGAATTTTAGGCTTGGAATGGAATTTTGGCAGAAAGAGCACACCACACGACCATTTCGATTCGTTAGTTTGCCATTGATTTGCTGCTGCAGTTTTTTAATTCTAAGGAATTGAAAAAGTGTAGGACCCTTGAACTGTGAAGGCCAATTGGAGAGACCTAGATTCAAGGTTTTACTAGACTACTATCAGCCCTCATCAATTGTAAATTAACCGAATAATCAGCAATTTAATAGCTTCCTTGGCTTCTTTATTGCCTTTTGGCATATAAATTAAAGAAGCTCCGTTCGTAAGTTTAGAGCTATTATGTACTAAGTTAATGCAAAACTCAATCAACCATCGCACAATGTTTTCTTATGCGCTGGAGTTTACTGCTCCCCTCATTTCTTTCCCTAAGTCATTTCAAAAATCAGTTTACTCGCGATGAGTTATTTTTACAGTAATTCGTCTCTATAACAAGTTTTTGTCCTGGTCCATTAGCTGACTGAGATTACCCCGGGGAGGAAGAAAACAATTAATGTTTCCCTTTGTTTTCATGCTTTTGAACAATTCTCTTTTGCTCGTGTGTGGTACTAGTTATTAATCACATTTTCCGCTCCACAACTGTGATTACAACCAGTGCAACATTAAAAGATCAATTTAGATGAATAATCCCGTAGTTTTAGCCCAAATTGCTATAATGTCTCGCAGGTAGGAACGTAAAAGCGCGGTCAGCTCTGTGAATCTTTCCCCAATAATTAGCAAACTTACTATTCTTTTGTGATTCTCGCAAGTCTGTAGCCTTTGTAGAGCTAGGAACAGTCATTCCATGAAAATGTAAGCTGTGTTCCTAAAATGCTTTAACAGCAAAGTCTGAAATGACATGCCCTTTAAGAAATTGAACATCACAGAGTTCAGCTCACCCAATGAATTTCTAAATAGTTGTTAAATAGTTTGTCTCTGGTAGATTCTTCCAAGTTTGTGTAACTGAGTAATCACTTTCTTCCACCTCACCACAGTGGCTTCCTCAACATGGTAGTACGAGTGAGTTGGTTCACATCCACCCGAAATTCGGCAATTGTGACCCGATTACTCTGCAATTCAGGCCGTGGACACCCCTCAAAATTAGCATGTAAAGTGGGCACGTGCTTACAAAATCCCCTCTATTCGTTGAATGACTCACTTGTAGTTACCGAGGTAATAAATTACAAGTTTTTTGTTGAATGCTTCGGCTTAAAAAGAGTCTAAAAGAAGCTTATTAGTTAAGGGTTTGGAAGTGCCATATATAGCGTCACGTTAGGTAATACTTCACGAATCATGTAATATCATTTACGTACTCCCACGATTTCGAACGACACCCCGTAACCGCATATAATATACTGTGCATATTCGTTCTAAAATAAGCTCTTATTATATACAATAAGTCTACCCGTTACCTTGATAACCATGAGGTCGAGCATCACAGATTTCTCTCGACTAACAGTGCTGCTAATAAATGGTCATAGCGTGTATTCCTTCGGGCAAGTAATGACATTGCTGCGCATCCATGTCCCTGCTTCCTTAACGCATATTTAAAATCCGATTTGTAAATATATTTGTGCATAAATAAATAATGATTAAAAGTGTTTCCAGATTGATGTGCAGAAGAGCAAAATACCTTCCCAATTCCCAAGAGCTTTGTTTACATTTGTGTTAATGCACATGACTGATTTCGGCTCTCGGTTGCCCAGCTTCTTACCCCTCTAGGGTCCCTTTAGCGAGGGAAAAGTTCTTCCCACATTGTTTACACCTCAATCACACCCTCGCAAAAAGCAGTACCAACGAGATACAAAGATGACACTTCTTGTCAAATAATGCGGAAATTACTGCCTGTCCCACCCTTCCCCCATAATTCTATTGTTTTGAAAAGTAACAATGATTATTGTTAGAATAATGAATATGTGTATAAAATTGCAATACTTTTTGTACTGCGCACGTATTTATCAGTACTAGTGGTGGCAAGTGTCCTAGCTTTTTAGAACCATCAGCACTTAAACACTTCACTTGTTGCCCACTCTGCGATGCAACCTGCATTGCAGAGGGTTGGGGGAGACAGATGTCGGACAACCTTTTTTGGCGCTTTCACAATAGTCACCAGCATAATTTGGAGAAATTTCGCTACATATCCAATTCGTCGTCCCTATGACTAACATAAACAATGCCTTAAGACTGAGACATCTTGCGAGGTTAACAATATCTCTGTTGCTCCACCTTTCATGTGAGTATTTGACGTTTAAAAGGTGACGTTTCGTTTCATTCCCAATGTATAACGGTTTGAATCGTTGAATCCGCGTTGTCATCGTCTTTTATTAGACATTCAAAACAAACAGGTGTCAAGTTGTGTGAGATCATCTAGCACGTCATTTAGAAAAAAACATTCCCACCTATATTTATTTAGCAGAAATTTAAAATACAGGCGGAACGAATTACTAACTTCCAGCATACCATATAAAGGTTCCAGAGTTTTTTAACAAAAAGTATATTATTTGGAATGCCAATACGAAGGAAATTTATTCATATTACTTGGTATCTCTAAGGGTGAAAACGATCGAATCTCTGAAATGGCGTTGAAAATGAAAAATGTTTTATTCGATCGACGATGCTATCTACCGCTATTAATTTCGATAAGCGAAAGTGCTGGGGTGATTTGTGACCAAATTTAAAAGTGGGGCAACTCTTTGAACTCGGTTTTGTAATCACAGATGCAATTGTGCTTGGTGTAGCCCTGAGAAGGACATCAAATTAGTACGAATTATTGGGACCCAATGGAACCGCCATATACGACTAGGAGTCGGAGCACTAAAGAACCAGCGGACAATTAATGCTATCACACACTCGTTAGTTATAAGAACTGGTTCATTATTGAGCCCCTAAGTGTGTCCGTCATGCCGCAACATTCAAATAGGCTAAACGTAAGGTTCCATCGTGTTCTTGGAAAATAGTGAGTCCTTCCGGTTTTCTGCAGTGACAACATTTGCTATTAAGGAAACTTTTTTTTCTTATTCTTTATATTCAAACTTGCAGATTAGGCTTGTATCTACAAGATATTGTTTTGATCATCGTAGTGAAAATGAGGGTTGTGCGTTTGTTTTCAAAGGAAAGGCAGAATTGTTGCTCTTGTTTGGAATCGAGTGTTCAAATTTATTAGTTATATTTAAAGCCTATACAGAGAATACGGGATTTTATAGAAATTATGGGAGCATGACTTTAACCCAATCTATGTGCTGTCACAGGAATTCAGTTCTATGCAGGAAATTCATCTCACTTTGAGGTGGCTTAATGGAGATTGGTTATGTAGGCTTAGAGTCTACTTACCTCCTTTTAATATTTTCATTGTATAACCCAAAGAATAGTCCTGGGACTATGACTTTAATAACCAAAAATTGCTAGCAAATTTGTGGATGTTATAATCAGTCTCTACATTGTAGTCAACGTATACTTTGTGGCCATTCTTAACATGGTGAAGAAATTATAAAACAATTTTCTTCGGAGCCATCAGATTTAGTGTAATACGATGGATGTTTATCTCTCCGTATTGGCAAGGAGCCACTTTTGACCTGGCCTCTGTGCCACGCCGGACGGGCTGGCCCTCGGACCGTGCCAGTGGCCCAAATACCTTCTCTGTGCTGAATATATATGCTCTGCCCTAGTATTATATCTTCTTTCGTCTTCAGGGAAGTATCGAGACGCTACATTAGTAAGGAGCATTGTTTTCCGATTTAGTGAGAAGAGTTTGTGAAAATTGGTTCCTAAATGCTAAATTTTGAAGTACCCCTGAATTCTGGTTCATCTTTGATTTGGTAATTTTTAGAACAAAGTTTCATGGTTCATTTTCGTGGTGATCCTTCTGTAGTCCTAACTACACCTTATCAAGCCGACATTGCGCAGGAACTAGTTCACCTGTACCACCATAAAATTATGGGCAGAAAGCCCTTACGACGTACCGTATTATAAAATTCAGGTAAATTTCTGCATGCATTTCTGCTGAAAAAAATAATTGGAACGATACAAGAGGTGGAAACTCACAGGCCTTCAGATGCGAAATAATTGATAAACTCTCTCCCCTCCTTTAACTATATTTTATGCAAGTTGCGTTAGACAAATAAGGGTCGACGAAAAGCGGTTGAAACTAGCATATACTATCCCAAGTTTACATACCTACACAGGTAGTCGGACAATTTTTTTTGCTAAATTTGATGTTATAGACCTAAATACTACTAAAATGAAATGATATGATATCGTTTAAAATACACTGACTATTTTTTAATCGTAAACCGGTAAATCTATTGGAAACACACTGTGTTTGGTCTGGGATCTAGCCATCTGCCATTAGCAGTGTAACGCTGGAAAACACAGTAATTGGATGAAGGAAATTTCAATCATGAACATTGGATCCATTGAAATCGAAGTTTGAGGTTTCTACCACGATAGTGATTGTTGACACCTAAACCAATCCACAGTAGAGAGTTCCTTTGACAAGTTTCGGACATGGGATATCATAAGCAATATTATGAAAAACTGGGTTTCGTACAAATGCAATAATTCCCCATGAAGGACAGAAAGCAATACGTACCTTGATTATATAGCCTTTTAGCCCATCTCGTGCTTATGCCGATACTGTCTTCTCTTCCGCAACAAGGAAACACGAGTCCCATAAAGTATTAATCCCCTACCCGGTACACAATGCCCTATACTACTCAGCCTTCGAAATCTAACAGGTTGAGGCTGAAGATTAACAAGACAGATAAAAAGAAACTACCTAAACTCTACAAAATAATGACAAAAGTAATGGATTAGGTGAATTTTTAGTCGAA